GTGATCTGTTACCACCCGCCGCCCCGCCCGCCCCCTCTCCCGCTCGAGACCTGAATGATCTCTCCCCCGAGCGTTTCTTGTGCTTGCGTCACTCGAAATTTCCTCATAATTTCCTCAATCCGCCCTTCCCCTCCAGGCGTTAGTTGCGGAGTGGACGTGACGTGCATAGAGCATGCAGCAGACAGTGGCTCCCGACAATCACCGCTGGCGGCCACGGTCCAGCAATTGAGTGCCATTGGGGGGTCTACTAGGCGTTAATTAATTGTAGATACCGCCAGTTTAGCAATTGAAGCAGTGGCGAAGCAGTGGTAGGGCAATTTCTCGCGGTGTCACCGCATAGGGCAAAGCAATTGAACGTGGTGTGGAAAGCAAGTGGGTTGGCAGCAACCTTAACCTCGACCACACATCGCTCCCAATTAACTATAAATAAGCCGCCACATCTGCCGCTGACACACTCCACAAACGGTATCAGCATGTCTCAATACCCCGAAGACTTGACCGATGTTCCTGGAGCCGAACAGCTCCCGCGTCACCCGGAAAGAAACCCTGGTGCAATTGAAAAGGGCCCTGGTGGCCGCTCGTTGAGATCCGACGCCGACGCCGGTGTCCAATCCGGCGGTCCTGGCGTTGGTGGCCTCGCTGGTGGTTCCAGCGGTGGTTTCAGTGGTAACAAGTCGTCGTCCACTGGTCAACACTCGTCGACCTCTGGCCAAGACAACCGCTCTACTGGCCAGAAGGTGAAGGACGCCGTTGGCTTGGGCTCGAGCTCTGACAAGAACCAGCAACGTGTGCCCGGCTCGTTCGACGACAGACCCGAACCCAACGTCGACGACAACGTGTTGGAGTCGTACCCCGACCGCTCGGTTGAAACTCAACGCTTCCACCGCGAGTACCCTACTGAACAGTCGTTGGAACACCGCCACGAGGAAATCATTTCCGACCACAAGAGAGACTCGGAAGCGAAGTTCGCTAACGCTCGTAAGGAGGAGAGAGAGATCTTTGGCAACGACCACTCGACCTCGGGCCACCACCACTACAACGCTCCCCACGAACACCACCACCACCACTCGGGTGCTGGCGCTTCCGGCCTGAACGACCCTTACGCCACTGGCACTGGTGTTAGTGCCGCTGGGGGCTCGCGCGCCACCGCTGAAGGTATTGCCGCTGCTGCCGGCACTGGCTCTACTGCTGCCACCGCTGGTTCGCACGGTACCAATGTCAGAACTGGCACTGCCTACGATAACACCCTGGACAGATACCACGAATACAACAAGTCGGGCAACCACGGTGTCGATGCTGCTACTGCTGGTGTGGGTAACGTCAACTTGAACAAGGACGCCCTGGGTAACCACTACGACCACGGCCTCCCCCGCGAGTCGGCGCGTGAAGCTGCTGGCGGCCACCACACCACCACTGGCACCCACGGCACTACTGGCACCTCCGCCACTTCGGGCAGACCCACCAACGCCTACCAAGAAGGTTACCAGGAAGGCTTGCGGGAAGCTCGTGAATCGGGCGCCACCACTGGCCACCACCACGGCACTACCGGCACTACCGGCGCCGGCTACTCGTCGGGCACCACTTCCGGCAACTACGATGACCGCTCCACTGGCCAAAAGGCCAAGGACGCTGTTGGTGTGGGCTCTGGCTCCAACACTCACTCGTCGTCGGGTGCTTACGACTCCAACCGCGGTACCACTGGCAGCTACGACAACCGTTCTACTGGTGAAAAGGTGAAGGACGCTGTTGGCTTGGGTTCGGGCTCTTCTGGTTCCAACACTGGCAACTACGACTCGACTCGCGGTTCCACTGGTGCTCACGGTACCACTGGTGCTTACGACTCGACTCGTGGCACTACCGGTACCACTGGCACCACTTCCGGCGCTTACGGCACCACCGGCACCACCGGCACCACCGGCACCACTGGCCACCACGGTACCACTGGCTCTCACGGTTCCACCACTGGCGGCGGCTACGACTCCTCGGCCCACACCCACAACAAGGATGATCGCTCTTTTGGTGAAAAGGTGAAGGACGCCATCGGCCTTGGTGACAACAAGGACGAACACAAGCACCACGACCACCACCACGACCACCACCACGACCACCACCACGGCACCACTGGTACTACTGGCGCCGCTGGCACTACTGGTGCCTACGGTACTACCGGTACTACTGGCACTACTGGTAACCACTCCACCACCGGGACCACTGGTGCTTACGGCACTACTGGTACCACTGGCACTCATGGTACTCACGGTACTACCTCTGGCGCCTACGACTCCACTCGCGGCACCACTGGCAACTATGATGACCGTACCACTGGTGAAAAGGTGAAGGACGCCGTTGGCGTCGGCTCAGGCTCGAACACTCACTCGTCCTCGGGCGCCTACGACTCGTCTCGTGGCACTACCGGTGCCTATGACACCAGTCGTGGCACCACTGGTACTACTGGCCACCACCACACCACTACTGGTGCTGGTGTTGGTGCTGCTACCGGTGCTGGCGTCGCTGCCGGTACTGCTGGTCACCACCACCACCAGGGTACTACTGGCACTACTGGCGCCTACGACTCGTCTCGCGGTACTACCGGTGCCTACGACTCGTCTCGCGGTACCACTGGCAACTACGACAACCGTTCTACTGGTGAAAAGGTGAAGGACGCTGTCGGCCTCGGCTCGGGTTCGGACCGTAACACTGGTAACTACGACTCCACTCGTGGTACTACTGGTGCTTATGACTCTACCAGAGGCACCACTGGCACCACCTCGGGCGCTTACGGCACTACTGGTACCACTGGCCACCACCACGGGACCACTGGCACTACCGGCAACTACGACGACCGCACTACCGGTCAAAAGGTCAAGGATGCCGTTGGTGTTGGTTCTGGCTCCCAATCGAGCAACACCCACGGTACTACTGGTACTACTGGCTCTCGTGGCGCTAACTACGGTGCCTACGAAGGCGGCGGCGCCGGCGAATACACCGATGCCAGAACTGGTCGTGAAGGTAACATCCCCACCTCCACCACTGGCGTTGCCGGCACGATCCCTGCTGGATCCCATGGCACCACTGGCACTCACGGTACTCGCGGTACTCACGGTACTACCTCTGGCGCCTACGACTCCACTCGTGGCAGCACTGGCAACTATGATGACCGTACCACTGGTGAAAAGGTGAAGGACGCCGTTGGTGTCGGCTCGGGCTCTCACTCGGGTCATCAACATGGTACTTCTGGTACCACCGGTACCACTGGCTCTCGTGGCGCCAACTACGGTTCTTACGAAGGTGGTGGTGCTGGTGAATACACCGACGTCAGAACTGGTCGTGAAGGTAACATCCCCTCTTCGACTACTGGTGTGGCGGGTACCATCCCCGCTGGCGCTCGTGGCACCACTGGTACTACTGGTACAACCGGTACTGGTTACGGTACCACTGGCACTGCTGGTAAGACCGAAGGTGATCTCGGCCGCAGCACTGTTGGTACTACCGGCAAGACTGAAGGTGATCTTGGTCGTGGTACTACTGGTACTCAGGGTACTACTGGCACTCACGGTACTCATGGTACTACTGCTGGTACTGCTGCTGGTACTGCTGCTGGTACTGCCGGTGCTGCTGGTACTACTGGCGCTGGTGTCGCCGGCACCACTGGTACTCACGGTACTCACCACACTGAGGAACACAAGGATAAGTCGATTTTCGAAAAGATCAAGGACAAGATCGAAAACATTTGAAATGATAAGCTTTTTATGAATTGATGTATATTGATATTTAGTGAAATATGATAATTGAACTGAAATGATGATTGCTTTTCTTTGGATTGTATACTGTGACCAGGCTCCTTGTGACGGACGCCACAAATCATCAATCAAGCATATATAAACCAATAAAACCATCTAAGTTAAAAGACAAACTCATTTTCTTTATCCGACTTTTTCTCTCTTGACTATCTAGCACTTCCCTACACCGGTCTCTTGGTATCATGTTGGCTCTCGCCTCCCCCTCTGTACTGGTCATTTAGGCCTCGATCAGGTATGATCTGGGCGCGTGCACACTGACAGTACCTTAAGAGTCAAGATTAAGTGCCCATTTATGCCTCTCTTGAGCACCAGCGCAGCCGTGCAATTGTACCGTAAATCTGTTATGCACGCATAGCCTAGGTGATCCCGCCCCGTCCGAACGGCTACCGGCGTTGTTATCGATGGCTAGTGGCGGGATTTACTAATCCGCACCTATTTTGGGTCACCATGCACGCTGCAAGCGAATTACCGGGCCGGCTGTCACGGTAGCAATCTAATAGGAGTAAACCACACTTTCACTAAGATCTGTCATAATTTCATCCTCTAGCCCATGTCAGCCATCAAAGGTGCCGTTGGCAAAGTGGGTCATGGAATCAAGAAGGTGTTCAGCCATGACGACGACACTGTCGTCCTTGACGTCAAGGATATAGAGGAGAACAGTGGTGGGGTACGCGTGTACGACTGTACGACTCAAGGCAAAGAACATGATGACGCTATGAAACAAGAGGAGCTTGCCGAACCGGAAAGAATGGATGACTATGCGAGAATTGAAAACGACAACCCTCTCTTCACCAGTTTCGCTAGGCAAAAAGATAAAAAGGAGCATGGCCACTTTTATTCACCAAAAGATGACCAAGGAATCTATCGTGAAAATATCGGCAAAGGAACCAAGCCGTTACAGGAAGGATGGTTAGAACACACTCACGGACCCCTTTTTCTGGCGCCTGAGTTCACTGAGGAGCTCGAAAACCAGGAGGAATTGACTAAACTTGCTACCCCAGGTAATTTGAAACAACTGGAGTATCTGGGGAAACCAAAATCCGAAGTTGACTGCAAAGAGGCCCACTCAGCAAATCGACTGGTGTTTAACAAATCAGGGATTGATTCCGTGCGTCATGAAGAAGAGGAAGGCACCTACGTCCACCAGGACATGGCTGACTTGTCTCCGTCCCTGTCAAGACACCGTCGGTTTGATATGGGTGAATGGCGAGACGATTGGAAGGGGTGGGACCCCCTCAACAAAGTGTCGGGTTACATGCCTAGTATGCCAAAACCTGATCTTGGGCTCGGCAATTTGGGTAAGGATATCGGTAAAGAGATGGGAGGTTTCAAGGACCACATCAAGCGACCGCACGTTAAACTGCCAAAAGTGTCACCAAAACCTTCTAATTGATACCCTCTGAGGTCTACCTCAATGTCTCTTCTGTAATGATTATTTGATCCCATGTGTATCTAATAGCTTAATTCGTGATTTCAATGTCTCTCTAGTGCCCATCGAGTTGCTGAAAGTGTCCTCTACAGTCACTAACAAACACTTCGGGTAAGCCAAACACTGGATTCGTGGCTTCGGTGTGGACATCATCGGCGAGTGGTTCATGGTGGAACCGGAAAGCCATCAACTCATTGGCATCATCAGTTTTCAATTTAGTTAGGTATTCGCACATACTGAGCCCCATCAATGAGTAGTTAGTATGGTAAAAGTCTACCAGCTTGCCGGGTTTATCTTTAAACCCGCCCCTTGAGTTTTGAGCAACCCTCAATAAATAGCTTTTGAGAGCATAGCGGTTGAACAATTGTTCAGTTTTAGTGGCGATTTCAATCAATGGTATCGCAGCACCTACCCAGAATGAGTAGCACGCATCGACCAACTTATTGGTACGACCACTAAGCCCACCTTCGAGCTGGAATTGTCTCAGTACGAGCCATCTTGTAAGGTTAGGTACGTCAAGACCCTTGAATGTAGGTTCCTTGTGAAGCAAAAAGTACAGAGCCAACGCGCAATAGGTGTATCCACCATGTGCCTCAGTGCCGGGAACACCGGCAAACCCACCCTCAAAGGTTTGGCACTGGTCCAACCATGCTTCAACTCCAACGAGGAACTCATCAGTAACGATATTGAGCAATGTTGCCACCACTAAAGCACAATATGTCAGTCTCGTGTCGGCCTCGCCGTTATGGTGCATCTTGAACGATCCATTAGGGTTCTTTAGCAGCATCACCCACTCGTATAATCCAGTCCGGATGCGTTCGAGAATGTCAAATCTCCTTGTAAGCACCAACAGAAGCACCCCAGCATAGGTCAGAGCCATATGACCAATTTGTCCAACGCCACCACCGATGCCACCCTTGCCATCATCGTTGATCCAGGCTTCAGTTGCGTTGGCAATCACATCATCATCGGGGGCCAATTCCTTGCTTAGTTCCGAATCCCTGTGCTTAATCACATGGAAAGAGTTGACAAGCCAGTACACCATCCACAGGTGATTGGCATCAAGCATAGTGTAAGCCGATGGCATTGGTCTGGTGAGACACAAGCTGACGTACTGAACGTGGCGTTCGTAAAGAAATTCCATCGATGGATGTTCATTATACAGCTCGATCACCACCTCCTCAGTATCCTGCTGCAACTGGGTTGTCTCACTGTGATAGGTTGATGCTTCCATGAGTGGAGCAGTAGGTTCGAACCAATTATCCAGATTCAATTTCGACGGATCGTCGTCTAGTCCTAGAGCCCCCTCGATTGCATCATCGGTAGAAACCCATTCATCGTCGTCATTGGCCTTTGCAGAGGCGTCGGGTGCAGTTTCCAGGCGTCTTTTCTGATTCTCCATTAACGATAGTATATAACTTATTCGTTTTTGGACTTTTTCCATGGATTATATGGGGGTGGTAGTGAGGGTGCAGTCGTCGAGCGCATTGCCTCTCTCGGTGGTGACAATCGAGAGCGGCATCGCCTAGGTGGGTTTGATGAGGAAGGAACCCAGTTGCAGGGTGTGCCCGTGTTTGTGGGAGGTAGTTAAGCCATTGCATCCAGGACATCGAAATGAATACTCAAGCAAAATGGTCAGAATAATTGAATGGGGGCCACAGCCTTATTGCTTGTCGTCCCCACCCCCCGTGTGGGGTCATTATCGGCGCAAAAAGAGGGAAAAAAGAGAATGCGAATTTTGTGGATCGAACACAAGACCTCCAGATTTCAGTGACCGAAGTTTACTTCAGTCTGGCGCTCTCCCAACTGAGCTAAATCCGCTTTCTGGCGGATTTTGATATGCGCTTTATTTTGTCAGATGAATAAAGCTTGGAATTCTAATTTTCATTATTTCTGGATAAAAATGTTAATATATGGTTAAATGGCAGCATCTTCAACTCTTCCGGTGGTTGTTGTGCCCAAAATTCAAAAATTGACATATATATGGCATCCCTAATATATCTTGCTATTTTGATAATAATTTTTGAAAGTGGAGTTTTCGAAAATAATAGTTGCGGATCCACTATTGAACCCCATCACAAAATAAATAAAACGGACCTTCACCTCACGCGAATTTTGAACAAATTGACATCTATCTTTAGACTTCAGCCGTTGCCAGTTGCTTCGTATTGTACAGTGTACGACCGGGCTCGGCAACGACAATAACGGCTAGCGACAGTTAACGGCGATGTTTTTCTATCTAACACTCATTACCAACTCTTCTAGGTCAACAACACCCAAACACAATTTAATGGTCACTGACTTTGAGACAACAATGTGACGAGCCAATTTGTTGAGTTGATGAGGGGCAGCGCATGTCGCAATTGCGGTTGAAAGTGAGACAACGCACGCGAGCCCTGAGGGCTATCTTCTGTAGTAGCAATCTGCTGACGTGGCACTATCAGAAAGCCCTACTGAGGTGAAATGCAATTCATCCCCTGGACATTGTTTCTACAGTGTCACCGTTACGGATTTCCGTGAGTCATAGGCTTACTTTATCGTATCCTGATGAAAGGGGCTGGGTAGGTTTGAGGTCATTGATTTTATGTGAGTAATCGATCGCATGCAGCAAATCGCCAACACCCTGTAGTATCAGGCGATATGCTAGTGGAGGAGGATAACCATGCCATCGACGGCAATAGAAGTTTCAAGAATAACGGAGACGATCAACGTTGGCCACCAATTTGCCACCGCTAGTTAGTAATGATTTGCCTTCGATATGTCACTGCTATATAAGCAGCAGATCTCTCTATACTGTTGGCGACGGTTCGGACCCCTGAGTTGCGCATCGGACCCCTCGTATAGCCCCCGGCCGATGATCCGGGGGTTAGGATAGCGACCCCATAGGACCAAATGACGCTGCCACCAGCATATCGTCTACGTGGCATTTGTTGGGAGTAATAATGCCGAGGCTTTATTTCGGATTGAGTGATGCTTGAGCTATATCCGAGCCAAACGGGTGTGACGGACTGGATTTTCCTTTCGCAAACCTTAACTTTGTTAAAGGGTTCGTTATCGCTTACGGTTTTTGGCAAACAGCGTTCCTGTGATGCGCTTCGGAAGTTGCCTAATGCGTACAAGCAATGATGTGGCATTGTCCGAGCACGGCTGCGACCGAGATGAGGTGTTTTTTTTTCTTATTGTGAGTGGCCACAGTTAGTCATGTGGTCACTAACCGCACTCTAAACTAACCCCTATTGTGTGGAAATGTGAGGGTGAGGGGCTAGATTTTCGGGACAGCCTCATCTGCGTCCCGGGAATTTCTATCTCATCGTACACACAGTACCAATCCGATGATCCGGGCTCGGAGCCACCACTGCCACCGCCAATGCTATGATTGCCCCCCCTGGTGACTCCTGAATAACAAGAGAAGATTGGTATCATGGGGGATGTCATAATAAGATGAATCGAGTCCACCTACTAACGGGTGGTTCCACTTCTTTTGGACATTCGGGCCAAGCGATGAGGTAAGCGCTATATGGTTAGCTCGTCTCCCACTGTCGTCGCTATTTGTTTTGGGCTGTCGCACCCGGCGCATGCACCCGGGCGTATGTTTGACGTAATCATATAGATATAGGCAAGGAATCTTGTTGCCTATTTTGTGCGACCAGACCCTTCTCTAAACCACAACCCTTACCATTGCCGAAGCCGATTTTGGGGTGAGGAGATTCATCTATAGAATTACCGTAGTTTAACGCTTTTCTCCAAAGAATTGGGCGATGCCGTTGCCAGGTGGGCCAAGCTTGGCCATCAAAAAAAGAAAGTGTGGGAGTCTCGCCGATCTAAGCGTGAGGCTTTGCTCCCCTCACCGATTAGTCAGACTAGCTGCGTGTGATAGAAACAGGTGGAACCCCACCTGCACATAGCCATTCTATAAAAGTGCTATACCCGCAACACACCAAAGGATTACTTCCCATATCCTTATGGCCAGTTTACAGGTACTTCCAGCGCAGTGTCAGCGAAACGACAGCGAGGAGTTTTTCTTCGACTTCTCCGGCCAGGCGCCCGTGTCGCTGAGCCCCCCGTCGTTGTTTCCCCTGAACAACCCCTCGGTGTTGTTTCCGACGCCCCAACCTGTCGTCTACACTCACACCACCGCCGGCCTGATCGAAGACTTTGAAATGCAAGACGAGCCGCCTACCAACCCGTTCAATATCTATGGTAACCCTGAGCAGTTCAACTGCGTACCCCAGGTTCCAGGCCCATTGCCGGCGGAGCCGCCAGTGCAAGCAGTGCTGCCACTCCAGCTTTTACAAAAGCCCCGTCGTCGTCGCATCACATTGTTGGAACACGATGACCCGCTGAAGAAGTCTGAAGACGAGTTTTTGTTGTGTAACCCCGATATCCGTCCTGGCCACTTGATGGAAAAGCAATTTGACGAAAGCCTGTTGTTCATCCCCAGTAACAACCTGAAGTTCGATTTGAGTTCTTCTGCTAACAACTCTCAAGGTGTCATTCCCGGTTACGAAAACGACTATTTGTTTATGGACGACTTTGACGAAGCTGCCGAGGTCGACGACTTATCCGACGATGATGACGACGACAAGTACTTCCACGTTGACGACTTGATGGGTAATGCTAACTTTGCTGGTCTCAACCAACAGCAACAAGTGCAGCCGCCGATTGCGTTGGACGTCCCCTTGCCTGTCAATGACTTATACGAATACGTTAAACCCGAAGTTCATGACGTCCACATCAAGGAAGAAGTTACCAACCAATTTGAAGCTATGCAAGTCGACGACTTGGAGCTACCAGTGCTGATGATGGAAGCTCAACCCCCCATCTTGATGAGCGAAGCCAAGGACAGCCTTAGTCCCCAACAAATCACGACCGCGGTGCAAAAGACCGACGAACTGCATACCTGTGAACAAATTAATCCTGCGACCGGTAAGCCTTGCTTCAAGCACTTTAGCCGCCCTTATGACCTCATCCGACATCAGGAAACCATCCACGCTCGCAAAAAGCGGATTTTCCGGTGTGTGATCTGTGAGGGTCGCGAAGAAGGTGGTCCTGGCAATGGCAAGTCGAAGACGTTCAGTCGAGGCGATGCATTGTCGCGTCACATCAAGGTGAAGCACAATCTTGTTGGTAAGGACGCGGCGACTTTGATCAACATGGCTAAGGACCACGTTGAATTTGCTGAGGAATAAGGCTGACGACATGAGACACAACGTTTTGAGAATAATGATGAGTTACGATACGGATTATGGGTTAAATTTTACAATGGACATTTAATGGGTTCATCTTCTTATATATAGATAATAGATACAAGGTTAGATAACCACAAGTAGATGGGGCCTGCCCGAAGGGGCTCTCGATGCTGATTAGGAAAGGTATTTTAGAAGTGGTGTTCAGAAGATGGAGGTCGAGTCATCTGACAACACAAGCGCGTCTAACGCCGACACGATCTCACCACAGTACTGAGACACCATGGCGATCCCCTTGGCCACCGTGGCTGCCAGCACCCCTTTGAATTTCGCCAACGACGACTGCGACAGCAAGTTGACGTTGGTGATGGGGGTGATGACGTTGCCGTTGTAGTACGAAAGCACTAAGCCGTTCTCCAACACCTGTTCCTCCTGGGACAGGGGATCAAACACAAGGTTGGTGCCGACGACGCCGACGACAACGTATAACGGCGGCGACAAATCGTCGGCAATGGGGCGGGCTAAGTCCCAGTCATCACTGAAAGTGGGGAGCTCGGCGATCTCGTCGTCGTCGGTGGAACTGATGAGCAAAGGTAATCGCGTCGATTTGAGGGCAAGGTAGATGGCCAAACTCATAAGACTGAGCGGGTACAGGGTGTGCGAGATCACCACGCAGTCGACGTAGAGCTTGAACATGTACTTCTTCGTGAGCACGAGCCGGTCGCGGGGGAAGTTTGCCGTCAAGAGCAGCGTGAGGCTGTATTGGAGATTCAGCACGAAGTTCAGGTCGTCACGGTAGCCAGCAACGTCCACAGCCACCTCGATAAACAGGTCCAGCAACGGCTCCACCTTCAGTTTCACCAGCACGATGCACTCCAGGCCGTCGACGGCTCTGATCCGTGCCAGCCCATTCAGCAGCGGCAAGAAGTCGGTTTTGGCCTCGAGGGGGCGGAACTGGTACGCCTCCCGCAGATCAGGCCGCACGGGGGGAGTCGAGCAGAGGCCATCGTAAAGATAGCTCTGTTCGGCGGGCAGAAGAGTCAGCATGGTTGCGGTGCGTGCGGTGAGAGTGCGATGAGACCGATGATGGCAGCACGATGATATGCGAGTAGATTTACCTTAGTAGACGAAACACGATATTCAAATGTGTCATCGAGCCCAGACCGATCAGCTTAACTGTAATGATCTAATTCATTTGATTTTTGCATCCCTTTTCTTGGTCAGAATTCTATAGTGGGATGGTGAGGCTGTCGTCACCTACAATTTCAGTTTCGCACCCAAAACAGACACCCGTCCTGCTCATGAGTCTTGACAGCCATCGCCCGGCATGGTTCCAACACCACCAAAAACGGGTGATCCCCAACCATTTGGAGGCCAAGAAGAAGCTGCTGTTTCAGATCCTGAGTGATGACAAGAAACTGACCACTACCCAGAAGCTGGTGGTCGACGATGGCTTCAACCTCCTCACGTTTGGCAGCAGCCAACGAGGCGACAAACTGACGATCTTTGACGACCTGCGGATGGATGATACGATTAGTGAACACGCCGAAGAAGTGGCATTCGGTGACGATCAACCGCCGCTGCGCTCGATCCATGACTTAACCCAAGAAGTGCTATTAAGCAAGCCCCGGCAAAAAGTGGACTCGCTGCTCAACAAAGACCCTGCCCGTTTCCCTCTGGTATTTCTGGCACCTCTGCCCACCACCAAAGAACCCAAGTCACAACGTCCTGAGAAACAAGAGCTGGCAGTCATTGTGTTCGGCTACTCCGAATCTCGTAGTCGCGAAGTGATCGCTTACTTCAGCGAAGTCGGCAAGATCTTGGAACCGTTTGATTTGAACGGCACCACCACCATGCTTACTCAACTTGCCGATCGTAATCGACAGGTACCGATTTTCTGTGGACCCACTTGGGTGAAGATTACCTACGAAGACAGAGACCAAGCACTGGATGCTTTGAAGCGGAATGGTAAAGCTTTCAATGGCGAGTTCATTGGGGTCATCCCCTACTCCAAAGACGCGTTGGAGGCTATACAAAACCGGCAATTAGATCCTAATGAGGATAGAGGAGCCTGGGATCTCAAGTTGGTCAACCGAAAGCCCAATGACGACAATGCGGCGGCGATGCTGCCCCCACTGCTTGCACTGACGCTTGAAATGAAGGATGGACTGAAGCTCTTCTTGAAATCCGACGCATCGCTTACGAAGCCTGATGATAAGACTAAGATGGGGTGGGTCGAGAGCGCAAAGAATTGGTTCTTTGGATTCTACGAATTATAGTTAGAAAAATTTTAATGCCTACATTCAATGAGGGTGTTTAATGTCGACAATATGATAAACAGTAAAGCTGAATTATTTGAGCTTAAAGAATTGTAGTCAACATTTGATGAGTGTAGGATTCACCAACTCAGTAAATCTTCCAGACTGGAATGGTGATTTACACTTACCACTTTCATATACCATAATTCTCCGATTGAAGGTTTCGTTTGACGGATTTACCATCGATGTGATAATACATGTATGCGAATTTGAAATCAGTGCGACGATGGCATGAGTACTCCCTCGGGCGTACACCCTTATCGGCCTCACGCTAACAGCCTTGAAGAAATTGTTGTTGTTGGATTCACACTTGGAGTCGTATCAGTCCTATGTGGTTGGCAGCTATGGCATCAATACACCCCATTCGCTTTATATGGCATTCTTCTCGTGGTGGCATTCATGGGTGAATTCATCGCCTCGGCTAAGTGGCAGCCACAAACCGTCACTTCGAAGTCATTCCTCATTTACGGAAACAAGGGCAACTTCCAATTTTGGATGATGCAATTATTGACCTTATTTGAGTATTTCTTCGTCCGCAGTCGATGGTGGAGATGGCATCGAACCAGTGATCCTTTCTCAGAAACTATAACATTCTTTATGGCGCTTGCAGGATTGATGATGAGGTTTTTGGCGATGAAGCAGTGTGGACTGCTGTTTAATCATTTGATTGAACGAACCAAGAGGCCAGGTCTCCGCCTCGCCACCACTGGCATCTACGGTTGGACAAGACATCCCCTGTATCTTGCATTCTGGTGCTATGTGGTAGCGACGCAAGTGTTACTCCATAATTGGTTTAATCTAATTCTTGATGTTGGTTTGTTGGCTCATTTCTTCAGTGTGAGAATCTTGTATGAGGAGTGGTTCTTAATTCATCGATTGTACGGGGATGAATACCGACACTATAGAAAGAGAGTGGGTATCTGGATACCCTTTGTCAAAGATCCCCCTGATTCCGCCTTGACTTGATAAGTATTAGTGCGGACTGATTCAACTAGAACAACGTGGTATACTCTGGCCAGAAATTGAGCTGATGCGTTCATCGAAATCCACCATGTCTGATCTCAGCGTTACTCATCATGTTCTGACAAGACTCTTGGGCATTGCTGTGTATATTGATATCCAGCATATTTAACATAAGAGGATAGTCACCACAAGAAAATTTTGAATTACACTATGCTTATCACCAAGAACTCACTTTGACTCTGTCCTACTCGCCGTATAGAGGGTGACGCACCTGTACCCCAATCTCGTCTGAATGGTTTGCATGCGCGTGTACGGCGAGAGTCGTTAACAGAGAGGGTAAAGCTCCTTCTCACGATTAGCTGATGATAAACCAATGCTCATCGTCTGAAAAAAGTACCCCTCAACATTCTTGTAGATAGAACAAAGTTCCAACAACGTATTTTGTAGATCTAATCTTATGGCTATTAGAATCAAACCCTTTGATATCGATTCTTTCAAGGAGTATTTGCACAAGAGGACCCGCAATCAATATAAAATTAATTTTGACACCTTCAAGAGGTACAGGTTAATTCTTAGACTTGGTATTTGTGATGAAACAAGATTCATGTAGTAGTGGTACTGTAAAATTTTGTGCTAAGAAACTTTTTAATAAGAAGCCTGGTTAGCTCAATCGGTAGAGCGTGAGACTCTTAATCTCAAGGCTGCGGGTTCGAGCCCCGCATCGGGCTTAGTTTTTGAACTTCGTTGAGACGTAAGGGACTTCACCTCGTCTGTATTTACAACGACTCACAAGGAGTGATATTTTTGTTTGTTTAGCCTATAAACCTTGTAAAATTGATCTCGCTGTTAACATTGCACTCAGCCAAGTTTCAATCTGCATCACATACGAATTTTGAAAACAGAACTTACAGCCTGAAAACAAATTTCTGAGAGCTTTTTCAATAGAAGTTAATCTAATAATCTTTTTATTTTTCAATATGAATATTTACACTCAAATAACTAATTGCGGACCAAGTGGTAGAATGTCTCCAAGCCTTTTTCGTATCCTTGAGCGTAAATCCACTCAAACTTGGCTTGTTCGTGGTTGTGGATGTGTTCCTGCAATCTCAGCAGCTTCCACGCTTGCACACGACCGAGTACCGAGCCGTCAAACTTGGCGAACTCCAAGGCATCGTACCAAGCCACGGTGAACCCCTTGGCATAAAGGTCGTGATCGAACTTCTCCTTGGGAGCTTGCTTATCCCAATAGGCGCAATGGCTCTTGAAATTTTCGTCAAGCGCCTGGTTGAAAATATTTTCATCCGGAAGAGACTTACCGGCGATGTTGAACGGGTTGTAAATAGCCCCTGCTTCCGTCATCGCCCGGAAATCCCACTCGCCACCGCTCCCGCTTTCAAACTTGTAGGTCCAGAAGAAAAAACCCCACTTAGCCCGCTGGCTGAAGATTTCAACTTGCGTGCGTCCGTATTGCTTCACAAGTTCATCACGGTGCTCTTGAGCATCACCTTTCAGCCACAGCTGACCATCCAAAACACACGAGTACTCACCGATCATAAAGTCGACACCCTTACCATTATCATTCAAGGGCGTGAGCACGGTGTGGTTCAAACGGGCGATGATATCCTGGGGCAGCGAGTTGTGGTCTTCACCAGAGAAGCATCGGTACACGTGGTCGTCGACAACAACCCCAATGGTATTGAGCCCCAGCTGTTTGTCTTGGACCCAGTTAGTCCAGAGTCGAGGATTCCAGGAGTCAGAAATGATAATGGGGATAGTGGCGTCAGCCTCGCGAATGGCGTTAATCGCTGCACCGTAGAAGGTACCCTGTTTCTTCAGCAGTTCACAGTATTCGGCCTCGTTACACAATTGGATCCCGGCAATGTTGTCAAACTTGTCCAAGTCGGTGACGATCCATTGGAACGCCTTAACCATGGACAATTGGGCATCGGCGTCGTCCCAGAACTTAGCCCCCTGGTCACACGATTCACCCGAGTGGTCCAGACTGTTGGCACCGCCGGGGAGCCCGTGCATGTCGACCAATACGCCGATGTCGTGTTTCAAAGCCGGCTCGACAAAGTGCAGCTTGAAGATCAGCCACGCATTGACGTAGGCGGGCAATGCTGGCGCAAAACGAGTGCCCTTGGCGAATTGACCCTCGGCCACTTCCCAGTAACCGATAGGGATACGCACGGCGGTGACCCCTTGTTCTTTAAGCCAGCGCCAGTCATCGTCGTTCATGAACAGCTGCCAGAAGCCTTCGAGGCGTTCACGAGCGCCTTGAGCTCCGTGCTGCTTAATCAAGTTGTTGGCCATTTGCAATTCGGTCTCGCAGCCGTCACCAAAGAGCAGGCCACAGATCCATCGTTCTTGGACAAAGCACAGGCCGATATTGACGCCGTAGTTCTGGCGGTTGCGAAAGATATCGCGCTTCAGAGGGTGGGTGCCGGGAGGGGCAATTGGGTCGCAGTAGCTCACGTCGGAGCCTTTGTGCTTAAGCTTGAGTTTGTCAAACATGATAGCTTGCTCAAATCAGGCAATTGAGGGAAGGGGCAATGTATATTTAAAGGGCGCCTAATGATAAGTGCTTCACACGCTTGCTGTGGGTCCACGTGATTATACTGCATATAGTTAAGGGGACGTCGGGACGGGCTTGGTACCACAAACCGGATGTGACGGTGATTAAGTAACCGGCTGCGCCGAGGAATTGGAGGAGAGTTAGCTCCACTGGTAGTCGCGCTTCAACTTCGCCTCGATCACTTGGCGTTGGACGGCGTGGACGCCGGCGGCGCGTTCAGCCTCGGCGGCGATGACATCGAAGAGCTCCAGCTCGCTAAAGTCACCAGCGCTATCAAGGAACACAAGCTCGTCGGCAGCGCCGGCGCTAATCGAAAAGCACAACGCGTGGTGGCTGGTCAGCTTCTGGAGTTGCCCTGGCGACGGGTTGGGGACAAAAGCGCCGTCGACCACCGCTACCAGCAGCGCCACAAACGACGTATATAATGGGATGTTGGCATCTATAAGCGCGTAGAACGACGCCAGAAGGGCGCCGGCAATGTCGTTAGCAGTGTATTCAGGGGTCTCGGCCCCGTCACCAGTAAGAAATTGCACCACAACTTGGATCAACTGCCGCGGGAATTGGTGGCGAACGATCACCCGTTGAAGCAAGCCACGGATCTTGTCCTCTAGTAACCGTTCCCGGGTAGTGCTGACACCAGCGACGGGGCGCACCACCACTTCGAGCAGGGCGACGTTCGCCATCGCCTGGCGCGGCTTCGGCTCGATGGGGCCGGTGACCGCCACCACTACCTTTGTCTTCCCCCGTGTAAGCTCACACGATCCGTCGCTATTGGGTAATCGCAGAAGCTCCACGGTGTCTGTCATTATCTGGATATGGTGTATGAGGGGTGGGGTGGAGTGGTTGGAGGTCGCGCTGCGCGCAACCTTTCGATGAGATCACCGTCCCGGGCTCACACTGGGAGGCGCTCTCACTTTACCCTTTCTCTCAATACACTAAACAGATATCCCCTTTAGTCGCTATAGCATGGCCCAAGACTGGCAGCAGGCACTCCTTGATGATCTTGATAGTGACAGTGACGATGGCCTGGTGGTAGTTGACGATGCTGAACTCCCCATGGTCGAGCGCATACAGCGAGTGGTGAACCAGCAGCCGGCAGTCGAGTACACGGGGCAATCGGCCGTGCTCCCCCTCGTGCCACTGATAGAGGAGGAGATGGCGAAATATAAAGACGCTCAATCGACACAGTTACAGGAACTCATGGCGGCAGTGCTGTCTAATATGGCTGAGGAGAGCGCCGAACACCGCTTCATCACTGCGCTCAACGAGTTGCTGGTGGTGGTAGCCCACGAGATTGGCTTATGTAACCAGTGGCTTCGACACCAGTACCGTGACGTATTTCCTGAGCTCGACCAGCTCGTGGCCAGCCCGCGAGAGTACGCCCAAATTGCCTTACTTGTGGGCAATGAAGTGAGCCGTGTGAGAACGTTGGAAGAGGAACTAGGCAAACTTGTGAGCCGGGAAAAGGTGTTGGTGATCATGATGGCGGGGTCAATACACACCCTGCCGACCACCGAGCTTGCACCAGGGTTTACTGCTGCCTGTGAACAATTGATTCAACTTAGTGAGTTTGTGGGGAGTATTGGCCAGTTCATTGGCGAGAGAGTAGGCAAGTTTTCTCCCAACGTCACTGCGATTGTTGGTCTGATCACTGCCTCTCAACTTATCATTGCCCTAGGCTCGCTAGCGCTGTTGGCACTGACCCCCAGCTGTAACCTTGCTCTGCTAGGAGTGAAGCAGATGGCCAGTACCACTGAGGCTGGCGGTGCCGACCATATTCGTCAACGGGGGTACCTATATTACTCTCCCATTGTTCACCAGGTCCCCGCTGACATCAAACGGCTGGTGATGAGAATCGTGGCGGGGAAAGTGGTGCTTGCGGCTCGGGTAGACATCCTGGGCCGAGGATCAAGTGATGCTAGTGTAGGTGAGAAGTTCCGTCAAGATATCGAAGCTAAGATTGAAAAGCTTCAAGCTCCGCCTGAAGCTACCCCCGACAAGGCGCTTTCATTACCTAAGGAGTTTAAGTCCAAGAAGCGGGGCGGGCGCAAGTACCGTAAGATGAAAGAACGCATGCAACTCTCCGAAGTCCGGCGGGCCCAGAACATCATGGAGTTTGGCAAAGCGGAAGCCACCTTCACCACCGCTCTCGGCGACGAGGTGGGGCTCGGTATGCTTGGTAAACTGAAGGTGGCAGCCTCTGATGCGACGAGGGCGAAGATGTCTAAAGCCATGATGGCTCGTGTCAACAAAAAATGAACGATTACAAACAAATACGAATTTGTCTACAGTTTTCAATGAACTATACGAGATCTATCCACTTTTTGGACTATTATGATGGTTTTAGTTCATTGTGATTATCTTATTGTATAGCGGTTGACGTTCTAGATAGCATAAGGGGATCAGACTGTAAACCAAACCGCTCAATAAGAAGATAGCTCTACGACTTTTCAGTAATCTATTGTTGAATTGTCTAGAGTGGAGTATTCTATATGCACCAGGATATTATAATACATTTGTGAAAATACAGCTAGTTGAGTCCGCTGTAAGTACCATCAATGGTAGGCTTAAATTAGTAAGGTTGGCTTCGCTCATCATATTAGGATGACATCATTAGTTTCAAGGTATGGTTTAATCGCAGCGTAGCGGGCGACGTAGATGCCTCCTTGGTGTAATTCCAAAACATCTTCGCCACCAAGCTCTAACTCTACCAGCACCGTGCCCACGTACTGGAAAAACACCGGCTGGTCCAAATCGGGAGTCTCGACCATTTGCTCGCCACCTTTATTATCGTCCAAAAGCGCAAGCTCCGCCGGCATTCGCTTGAGAAAGCTCTCTGTATACAACCGATTGAGCATGCGGAAGTGGCGCGTGACGTAGTCGACCTCGTCTTCACTGAGCACCAGCTGCTGGTCCCTCAAGTAGAACGCGGTGAACCGGTCGAGCTTGGCCAACCGTGTCCGCAAGTATACCCGCACCAAGTAGTTGAGGCGCTCGATCTCGGTCTCCGCCACCATGAGCTGGAGCTTGAAGTCCAAGTCGGTCAGCTCGAGCTCGTGGCAGTCGAGCAACCACTGCTGCTGGCGTTCTAGCCCCAGAAGCGCCCGCGCCATCACATCGGTAGCGAACGGGAGCACCTCGGGCGCCATCCGCTCGTTCACCATACATCGCACTAGCTGTGCCTGCAAAGACTCGGTGGTGGTGGCGCCGGCCCCGGAAAACTCAGCGATGATGTCGCCATACTCCATCGCCGCTCACGCCCAAGTAGTTACCTTTCAAGGTTATGCAGCCGGCGCGCGCGCTGCTAGAGAGCTATTTACCCAGCGCCGTGCTATCGCGTCCGCACCGCCATTAGCAGTGTATCTGATTTGAATTCACCTCTGTCATCGCCGCCATCTTCATTTCTCCACGACTGTGCTTCTCATAGCCAAACACAATGGATCGGGCTCGTCTCCAAAGTCTCGAAGAAAGAAAGGCCCGACTCGTGGAACTTAGGCTGAAGCGGTTAGGGCTGGATGGTGATCGCTCTCTGGCGGCTAGCCCTATTGCTGCTGTCGCCCGAGCGCCAGTGAAGGTGGAGAAAGGCGTCCAGACCGATACCTGGGAAGCAGCTTCGGCCAATACTCTGCTGATACTCGAACAACAAGAACCCCAGGAACCAGAGCTCACTCGCTTTGATAAAGCCATACAAACGTCATGGGAACCTATCGCCGAAAACACGCCGAAACTGCCACCTCCCCCTGCTCAATCACCAGCTAAACCACCCACCGTTACCGTCTACATTCCTCAAGTTCCACCACCTACTCCATTTGAACGATTTGTCGCCGCTCGAACTCAAGCACAACCAGTTAAAGATGACACAACCGCCGCCATCGCCCCTCAACTCTCTGACGTTGGCCTCCTCTACCGCAAACCTGTGTACATGGACGCCTCGCCGCATTTCCCTGAACTCATGGTTGTAGCGTTCTCAGCAAAATCCCCTACCCAAGCGGGAGACCTCGCTGGAGCGGCTATGGTGTACAGCGTTGATGATATGACGCCTAAGTTCCTTCTTAGCTGTATGCTGCCGCTCACGGTGATTAAGTTTGATACCATGGATCCCAAAAGAATCATAGGTGGTGGAGGTGACGGCCTGGTGGTGATATGGGATCTCAATGCGCTGTCGTCGCTGGAGGTGGCGTTATGGCCCCAACTCACCACTCCATTGCACCGCATTGATCATCTGATTCTGGAAGTATCGTACATTCCTCATAAGCTCGCCATTGTCGCCCTCCATCAATATTCCATTCAGGGATCGCATATTCTCGTCCTGGTTCTGATGGATGGAGTGGTAAACACGTGGTCCCCCAGTCTTTTGGCTTGTCCTAAGCACGATCTGGTCGTGATCAGCGCAACTTCTTCTTCATTGGATACCGGTGATGTCAGTCAGGTGATTCTCAAAAGCCTGATAGTGGTGGGGAACGATGGCGCTGACGCTCTTGATGATCAGTCCAGTCTAGAACGACTATTTGTGATAGAGGAAAACGGCACCATCTACCAGTGCTCCGGTGACCGCAAACGTGATTTCACCGCAATCGTCGAGGCAACCTCACCGGTGTCAGATGTGGAGGCCTTACTGGATAAGACTTTAGCATCGACACACCTTGATAACACACTACAATTTTGGGGATTTACCAACGCCAAGGTGACACCACTTCACTCCCTTCGTACCGATGTGACGGTGGTGAAAGTTGCCCTGAGGCTGGCCTTCCAAATCGCGACTATTGGCATCAATCGTCACAACACTCAAGTGCTCGAGTTTTGGGACTTCTCCACGTCGAAGCGCCCAATTGTGACGATAACCGTGACTGATTCCGTAACATCGCTTCGATTTTCAACGAATGGGTCGGTCTTATTGGTTGGATCTGACCTGGGTAAGGTGATCAAGTATACCCTCGATGAAGCTCAGTTGCTTCAAAAGTCAAAAGAGCAGAAATCTGAAGGTATACAGGCATTACAAGCATTTTGAATCAGTTCTGCATTTGTCTGTGTAAGCGTGTTTCGAATAATCACGGCGTGCACATTCTCAGTTATTTATTGACTTCTAGCCAGGCTAGGATTTCTCCAAGAATATTGGCCAATCAAAAGCAATATATGTACTATATAACACAATGCTGATGCGAAATTCCAAATATGATGTGCATTAGCTTTAAACCTTGAGAATGCGCGGATTTAAGCGAATAATGGGCCTTCGTTGATGAACAGTCAAACACTACAACTTAATTTTTAAATTGTAGCGCCTGGTTAGCTCAATCGGTAGAGCGTGAGACTCTTAATCTCAAGGCTGCGGGTTCGAGCCCCGCATTGGGCTTATTTTTTGAATCTGTTTGAACTTGATCGGTCGGTATCACTAATCTTTTTAGCTAAACGCTAAATTCTATCAAAAAGTGTATGGTTATAGTGTTGGTGACGGATTGGATCTTGATCATAGGATATGACTGGTGCAAATTTTTAAGTAACCTCACTTTTCCCGAAATTTCGATTAAATCCCTGGTTTCGGACTGTATCGTCAACAAATTAATGTCCTTTGAATTAGTTATTCTTTTAGTTACCTGCTTATGATCGTCGTTGAAATAAAAGACCATTCTATGTGGATGGATTAACAAGTTTTTACTACGTCAAAAAAATACAAACCTTGAATACAAATCCGAGCTACTTATGGTATTGTTCAGCCATATGTAGTATCAGCGTTTAGTCACTTGCAAGCGCTTGACTTGTTCTTCCAAAGTCTTCAACTTGTTCTGCATTTCTTCCAAGTCTTGGTTCAACCGGTTTCTTTCGTTAACAATATTGGTTTCCCATTGACGGAATCTCTGTTCTTCGGCCTTCACTTGTTCAGTGAAGAACTTCTTCAAGGCATCCTCTTCTTCCTTGAACTTAGGGTTGTGGAATCTCCGCGGCTTCTTTACCGATCTCTTCACCACTTCACCATTTTCGTTCACTTCCTCCTCCTTAGTGTCTTCATCACTCAACTTGAGCGATCTAAATGTCTCGAAGTGCAATTCTTGAGTAGACAATATGAGGTCCAACATGTTGGTACGTAACAACAATGATCTCAACTTCTTGAAGTCGCAGTGCTTGTCATTTTCCACTTCTACCAACCCCCAGGGGTATTTTCTCCCGCGAACAAGCGTTCCCAGACTGGTTTCGTATTCTTCTTCCGACCCGATGATAGCAAAAGGCATCGATTCGATCAATTGCTTAGCGTGTTCGGCTGAAGCAGGGTCATCGAGTTCCAAGGGCGGCGTGTAGATGTTGATATCGTGAGCTTCGATGATGTCTCTTATTCTCGATTTGAAGCCTTCCATTTCAACGGGGCTCAAAGTGTCGGCCTTGGCAATGATAGGGATTAAGTTGACTCGAGTCGACAATCTCTTCATGATTTCGATATCTAATGGTTTAAGCGAGTGACCAGTGGGGCGAATGAAGTAGAGACAAGCGTGGACACGCAAGTCCTTCTTTTCGTGCCGGCGAGGTTGCTGTTCCTGCTTCATGTAAGATTCGTGTTGATCATCGATGAAGTCGATGATTGGGGTCCAAGAATCAGTGTTGTTGACATTGTTGCCAAAGCCAGGGGTGTCAATGACATTAAGGCGAATCTTGAATCCCTTTTCTTCAAGGATAGCACGGACGATATCAATTTCAACAGTCTGGTGAGCCAGAGTGAACTTTTGGTGACGTGTTTCGGGGTCCTTGTACCCCTTCAACAGAGTTTGAAACAACGTGTTGATGAAGGTGGTTTTACCGAGGCCAGATTCACCACAAACCATCAAGGTGAAGGTGGCCCCTTCTCGAGAGATGATTTTGTATCTCTGGTTGGGCAAGTTTGCAATACCAACGGCTTCAGGCATGGTATCGGGGTGGGTACAGCTGTAGTGTTTTGGTTTGGATTTGAGGAGAATTTGACGAGCCGCGCGCGACTGAAAAAGTACGTGGCACAATAGGGAACTGACAGCGTGATAACAGTAGGGTCACCCCCCCGATAAAGAGCTTATCGGCACCGCGTAGCTTGTACTGCCAGAATTTTAAGTTTACATTGCACAAGATTCCAAGATACGGTGTCGTGGACGGGTACGCCGCTGACTTTTTCCTACACTAAATCACCACGCCGATTCGCGAGAATTCCTGTCCAGGGGCTTTTTTTTCTCGCTGCCTCAGGTGTGAATACCAGGGGGGCTAGGCCCCTACCTTAATTTTGGCTTCACACCACGACGCTCAACCTTTGCGATAAATTAAACTATACTGTCGTTGGACTTCCGATTTATCCACGTCTCTTCAGGCTTCTGGTTAAAATTGACGCGCTTGGTGATTGACGGGGGCTTTGCTGGCTCCGGGTGGCGGCGTGCATAGTGCTCCACATTTGCGACCCATGTGCATATGGCGCGTCTGTCGTGTAGCTACAGAGAATGTCGATCAACGACAGTAGAGGAAAAACCGCCGGACCAATGTGAAAGGGAAGTGGTGCCGGCGACGGTGAGAGTCAACAAACCCCATGTTCGATTACTAAAAACGAGTCATAGGGATTATTTAATAAAAACAGTACAACAATATAAATCTTTACGTTCAGACGAAATATAGAATGGCAGATCCTAGGTCCGCTTAAGCCTCTTCCTTCTTGTCGCCCTCAGTGGAGGTGGTGGCGGCGGCGGCGGGGGCGGCGTCGTTCTTGGCCAGTTCATCGTAGCCTTGCGCCGGGGTGTCGCTCAAGTCTGTCCACAAAGTCAAGTTGTCTCTCAACAATTGCATGATCAAGGTGGAGTCCTTGTACGAGTCTTCCGACAAGGTTTCAAGGTCGGCAACGGCGTCGTCGAACGCTTGCTTAGCCAAGTGGCAGGCTCTGTCGGGCGAATTGAGGATTTCGTAGTAGAACACGGAGAAGTTCAACGCCAAACCGAGTCTGATGGGGTGGGTAGGAGGCAATTCAGTGACGGCAACGTCGGTGGCAGCCTTGTAAGCTTCGAGAGAGAGGTCAGCGGCTTCCTTTCTTTTGTCAGCGACGGCGAATTCGGCCAAGTATCTGTGGTAGTCACCCTTCATCTTGTAGTAGAAGACCTTGGATTCACCGGTTTGGGCAGAAGCGATCAAGTGGTCGGTCAACACTGAGAGAATATCTTCACAGATCTTCGACAATTCAGCTTCGATCTTGGCGCGGTAAGCTCTGATCAAGTTGACTTGCGATTCGTTGCCCTTGGCTTCTTCCTTTTGTTCGATGGACGAAACAATTCTCCACGACGCCCGGCGGGCACCAATGACGTTCTTGTAAGCGACGGACAACAAGTTTCTTTCTTCGACAGAAAGTTCTTGGCCCGACGACGCCACCGCCTTCATGTTGTCCACCATTTCTTCATAACGTTCGGCCTGTTCAGCCAATTTAGCAAGATAAACGGAATCTTCACGAGAGGCAGGCACTAGTGGAGTTAGTATGTCAAGTTCACTTAATCAGCGTTTGAACACGGTGGCGTTGCCATGGTTAATGAGGCTCCGTGGTCGCGGCTGAGGGAGCGCCAATGGGCTCCCTTACACCCTCCCACCCTAGGCTTACATACAACACGCGTCGTTTCGCCAAGTCTCTCTTGATACTCACTTTTTTCTGACTTCACTGACTTGCTGGGGGATCGTTCGATAGTCACTGTTTTTTTCTCGCCAGGAAAAAAAAATTGCGACCCTCACGACCACTCCACGAGTCGAGTACTCTGGCGCGCGGGAGAGCGGGAATTGCCCGTGCGCGCAGTCACCACTCGCCGACAGTGGGGGTAGCGGGTGTCGACAATGCGATGAGAAAGGAGTAGCGATTCAGAAGGGACTTGGGAACGGTGAAGGCGTGGGCTGGTGCCCCGGGAAACGGCGGTGAGCGTAGGGATCACCCCCACAGGGTAGCGCGCGCAGTTGACCCACCAATCTAGGTCGACGTCGACGACGCCGGCGCCCACCAATGCCCCGGCGGGCCACCACGGGGACGGGGGTTTCACGGCTGGGGGGGTTTCCGCGCTGAAAATGATACACGGGAGGAGGTATATGGCGTGTAATTGCCGGGCAATTCGTCGTCACGGTGTCGGTAGCATTTGCGGCGATACTTACTTTTCTTGACTTGTTTTTGTTAACGAGAAGATTATTTGTTCCACCTCTCAAATATCAAAGGGCGCACAGGGTGTGCCATCCTCAAAAATGCCACCCACATTTTGGGACACTCTCAATTACGTCAGCACTAGTACTTCGCCACACACACACCCACCCCCTTCCGCCCTACACCCCCAGAGTCAGTGATTTTCCCCCCGCGATCCCGTTGTCATCTTTAAGCCCCCATTGACCTTGCCCCGACACACGTAATTTCTGTAGCTACTCAATGACTTTTTTACTTGTCAAATGTAAGCCGTGCTTCGACGGGGTTGTCAAAAGCGGGGAGCCTCTAATTGCCTGGTAAGCCTCGGGCGGAGTCGGTGAGTGTATCGCCAAACATTGCAGCTCGGTAGATAGTTGCTACGATACGGTGCGAGGAGTGCTGCGAGCCGAACCACAAGGGCGGAGGAATGACTTCACCCGGGTACTGGGCATCGGCGTTGTAGTACACTGGCAAAAGCGGGTGCTATCACAATGACTAATTGTCATCCTACCGTTCCTGGCGACATTTCGGCGACATCCACCCCCATTCTCAAAGATTAACATCACTTGACTACTGCCAATCAATTTACGGCCAATCTTCTCAGTATCTTTACTTTACCTCTACCAATATTGCTGGCATTGAATTGACAACAAACGATTTCATGTGTAGTGTGTGTTAATCGCCGGCGTCTGCCCTTTTGTTATGTTGATGTCTGCCTCCGGGCTTAATGCCTGCACCTAGTGGCGAGTCGCTGCAACCGGCAACCAGGGTGCGAACAAAGAACCCGCATTGTGTGGGAAGTCCATCGCTCACGTTGATAGCTACTAGTTGGTGCCCCAGATGAAGTTGGTGCGGTTTCTCATGAACATGCCCACCACCACCAACCAGCCGGTGACGGTGGAACTCAAAAACGGCACCCTGGTCAGCGGCCAGATGGTGCTGTGCTCGCCGACGATGAACCTCTCGATGAAGAACATCAAGGTGGTCCAACGCCACCACGACCCCCAGATGCTCAAACACATCAACATCCGCGGCAACCAGATCCGCCAGATCCTCTTGCCCGACGACCTCAATGTCGACGCCGTCCTCGCCAAAAGCGCCACCAAGATCAAAGGGCTGGGGGCAGGTCCCGGGGCCAAACCCGTACGCAAACCGATGCGGGGCAAGCGGGGGTTTTAACGTTTAACGTGTCTATATCGTCATTACTATATACAAAAGTTGTACCAAAAAACTGGTTTTAAAACCAGGTTTGTTTCCGTTGTTCTTTCTTCGCCAACTGTTTCTTGTAGTCGGGACGGGCGGCGACAATGGTGGCGTCCATGTTGCGGATAGCCTCTTCGCGGGCGGCCAACTTTTCGGGCAACTCGCGTTCCCATTTCTGCTTCTTGTGGGAGAGCACCCCCTTCATCCAGTGCTTGTCGTTGTACTTCTCCTCGTAGAAACGCTTAGGCATCGCCGGCAAAAGATCAGCAACGCCAAACTTGCGGGCCATCTTGTAGAGATCCAGCAGTCTCCGCAACGAATATTTAGGCCCGTGCCAGGCGCCGGTCTCGGGGTTTTTGTTGGGGAAGAACGGGTTTTTCTGGGGGTCGTCGATCGTCAGCGCCTTGTCGGCGTACTGGGCCAACGGCCGCGGCGGGTACTTGATGAAGAAGTTGTGGAGCTTCTTTGGAAGCCGGGCAAACGCCTCCTTAGCACTCAACGACATCGGCGGTTATGAAGTGGATTCGCTTGGTAGCTGAGATGAAATTTTTCGCACCGCGCAGCCACCCCTAGTGGAGGGTTGGACGAGAGAGGTTCTGAGGAAACCACAAAAAATAACGAAAAATTCATATTCTAAAAGTTGATTAGTCTAGAAAGTAAACTAGACTATTGGGGATTATATACTACTGATCGAAATTCAAAAATTCATTGTCATTTGCTATAGAATAACTGGTCAACACTAGTTCATTGAAAGTCGTACGTTATAGTTTTTCTATTGCAGACCGGGACCGTCGATGATGGCCTTGATGGTGCCAGGGTGACCAGCTCTGACGTAGTCATAAGCCTTGATCGCATCGTCCCACGAGAACCGGTTGGTGATCAACGCTTCAAAGTTAATCGGAGCCTTGTCACGACCTTGGCGGTAGTTCTTTTCCAAAATGTCCACCGCCATTTGGTAGTCACCAACACCATAACGGAACGACCCGTACATGGTCAATTCTCTCGTGGCAAAGTCAATAATGGGGAACTTAACGTCACCGCTGGCATTACCCACTTGAGTGTAGCGACCACCAGCCGACAAGCACTTGATCCCCATATTGATGCATGGCTCAGCACCAGTGCATTCAAGCACCACATTGATAGGAGCACCGAACGCTTCCCGTAACGCGTGGAAATCGCCCGTTCTCGAGTTAAACTTGGCATTGGCCACCCCCACTTTCAACGCCGTTTCCAATTTGGTGTCAAACACGTCGACCACCATCACCTTTTTAGCACCAATGGTGGTGGCCACCGCCGCCGCCAATAACCCGACGGGGCCCGCCCCGAAGACAACGACATTGTCGCCCAATTGCACCTTAGCTTGACGACAGGCGTGGACACCGACACTCAACGGTTCCACCATTGCCCCTAATTCCAAGCTGACGGTGTCAGGGAGAGGCACGAGGAAGTCTTCCGGCAGGCGATAGAGACGACAGAGAGTACCGGGAGGATTAGGCTCCCCTTCAGTGGAATTAGGGGTGGCAGCAAAGCACATGTGGGGGCACAAATTGTACTGGCCTCGCTTGTACTCCACGCTCAACCGCAGCGGCACCCCGGGCTCGATGGCGACGTTATCGCCCACTTTAACTTTAGTCACCGCCGACCCCACTTCCACCACCGTCCCCGCGGATTCGTGCCCCAACACCATTGGCTTCGTCAACACAAAGTCGCCAATGCGTCCGTGGGCGTAGTAGTGGATGTCCAGCCCGCAGATCCCCGTCTTCTTCACCTCGACCAACACGTCGTTGGGCAGCTCAATCTTGGGAGCGGGCAATTCCTCAAAGGTGATGTCGTCGATTTTGTTGAGCACTAACAGAGGGTTCAGCATGGCAGGTAAGTGAGTATCAGCGTAGCCTATAGGGGTATGGGTGAGGGGTTCTTTATATATGTTGGTGACTGACGCAAATTGAGTTCTCCCGAGATGACGCCGCGACCCGCACTAATTGCCTAAAACCGACGATGGCCTGATGGCGTTACTATAGTCTAAATAGCCCCCTTAAGTCAATTGGTAATCGATCTCAATTGTTTCGAGTAGATCTATATCTAAGAATTGTCGGTTTGTGTTGATTGTGGTAGGAGAATCTGATTGTTTGTGGTACGGAGGAAGAGGGTCTACAGGGCACGCGGCAGCTGGTGAGAGACAATCTCCCTCAAAATAGTCGATCCATTATCATGTGTATTCATGCTGATAAATATGTCTAGGCCTTGACAATGTGTTGCAAAGCTTCCAACACTTCCAATTCGATGTTGGCTTCGGCAACAACGACTTCGTCCGACAGAGCGGCTCTCTTTTGGGCGTCGGTGATCAACAGCTTGATTTCTTGAGCGTCGAATTGGTCGGGCTTGAACGCCTCGATGGCGGAGATGGTCAACTTGTTGCCGGGTTGCACGGTGGCAATGCCGCCCGAGACGAAGTATTGTTCGGTTTCACCGCCCTTGGAGATGATTTCCAAAAGACCGGGTCTGAGTTGTTCGACAATGGGGATGTGGTTGGCCAAGATACCCAAGTCACCGTTCACCGAGGGCAAGTTAACTTGTTGCACTTCCGAGTCGGCGTAGAGGGTATGGTAAGGGAGGGCCAACGAGAGCTTGAGGGCGTCCGAGGTCGCCGCCTCAGTGGCGTAGGTTCTGATGGCAGCTTGTCTCGAAACCTGTCTAAGAGCGTGTCTGAACATGGTTGGGATAAAGGAGTTTTTTCCTGGCGGTTTAATTTTTCAGGTCCTAGTTCGCACTCACCCGGCAATGCGCCGTTCTCATTGGGCCAAATTTTGAGCGTGCCCCATTCTCGGCAGCGTGGGTGTTGTGCGCGGCATCGTCAGTGGGCTATATAGCTAACGAGCGAGAGGGTAGTAGTATATATATATTAATAAAGTAGAGAAGTTTAGCATCCACATAAAGCCTGCTTATCACGTGGAAGGAGGGGGGGTCAACTATTGGTCAAATTGGTTGAGGAAGTTGTCGACATCAAACCCGTCGTCGAGCAGATTCGCCTGGTTATTGCCGTCAAACCCGGAATCTAATTGATCAAGGTTGAGCCCACCCAAGAGGGAGTCGTCGTTTTGTAGTAAATCGTTCATCATGTTGTTGGAGTCGTTGAGGTCGCCCAGATTCTGCTGGTAATTGATCGTGGACAAGATATCGGTGGGGTTGGGGATACCGCCCTCCAGCCCGCCGAGATCAAAGTCAAACGGCTGGTTGAAGTTGGCGAGCGACGCCTCTGCTTCGCGCACCTCGCGCTCTTTGCGTTCTTTCTCTTCCCGTTCCTTCTCCTGGCGCTCCCATTCGCGGCGTTCTCGTTCTTGTTTCTCCTTTTCAAGCCGTTGCTTTTCAAGGCGTTCTTTCTCCAACTTTTCCTTTTGTATCCGTTCCTGCTCGAGCCGCTTGCGCCGTTCTTCTTCTTCACGCTGTCTCTGACCTTCTTCTTCTCGCCGCTGTTCTTCTTGGCGCTTAGCCTCTTCTTGAAGTCGCTGCTGCTCAAGTTGTTCCTTGATTTTCAGCTCCGCTTCACGTTGCTGTCGTCCCACCGTTTCCTCAACACACCACTTGACGTCGTTGAGTTTGGACACCGTTTCATCGAGGATCTCGTCGAACTTGGCCAAATTACGAGCGAGCTGCTGGACGATCGGCTGCGATATGAGCTGGTTGTTGGTGCCGGTAATAAGGTTCAGCTGCTTTTTGTTGTTGTTGATGATCTCAAAAATATACCCGCTGGTCTTGAGTATATCGTTGAGGCTGTCGTTGAGCCGAGCCTCCAAACTCATTGGCGCCAGGGAGACGTGAGGGTGGTTCTCGATGGTGGGTGTTTATTGAAAAAACGGAGTTGCGCACTGGTACCGGCGCGAGCGGCTTACTTCAAACATGAGGCAATTTAGTAATGCTCTCGCTAACAATGTGGTTTACGACTAGATTTACATCGTGTGCCCGAGGGGAAGACCCCTTGCACTCGATAGTGTGGCTTATACGGTGACTATAACGCTTAAGCGGAATATTCGTGATAGGCGAGCACGGTCACGGAATAAAATGGTACGCCGGCCAGAGGTCACAACCGTACACACCACAATCGGGTATGTACAGTACCATTACGAGTACTCGGCGTAAATCATGTCACCTCATCAATTATTGAATATATACTCATTCAATTGCGGTGGCATGGTCATCAATTGCTTCAGATAGCCCTCTAAGCATATACCTCATTTGGCAGTCTCATCCTCCCCGCCACGATATTCGTCGATTACGTCAGCGCTACCACTTATAGTTTGCTGGCTACGCGTGGAAAGTGCGACGCGTCCCTCTACCACAACCACATCCCCACAAGACTATCCCATCCCTATGAGCGAGACCCTCATATCGCCTCAAGGGCCTCTTGCCACGGTATGGCTTGCGGCAAATTACGACAAGAAGCTCCACAAGCAACAGCTGCTCCAAGCGGATATCCCTGAGCTGACGGAGCTCATCAGCAGCAACCAGATTACATTGAGATTGAGTGGGCTGCTTCTCCTCGGGGTGGTCCGTATCTACTCCCGTAAGACCAAATACCTTTTGGACGACGTCAATGATATCCTCGTAAAGCTCAAGACGTCGTTCAAGTATTCTACGGGGTCCCGGCTTGGTTCTGACGGCACCTCAGTAAACTTGCCGGCGTCGCAAACCGTGATTAAAAACATCAAACTGGTGATGTTGACCGACCAGGTGTCTCGCTACGATTTGTTCTACCAGCCCGACCTCAATTTGGACCTCCCGCAAGTGTTCCTGCTGACTTCTCAGTACGATCTGTCTCAATTCGATACTCAGTACGACGACCACCTGGTTGACCCTGGTAGAAGCCACGATGACGGTGGTGGGGAACAAGATGTGATGCTTGATTTTGACATTGATATGCCGGACATGGATGATGACCACCGTGGTGACGAGCCCCCATTGTCGCCTTCTGGTCCTGACCAATCTATTGAAATTGGTAGAAGAGGCCTGGTGGTAGAGCAGGCCCCTGAGGAAATCTCCATTTTGGATATGGATAAGCCTGAAGAACCATTGGAAACGGTGGAAGAAGCGCAAAGACAAGCGACACCGCAGCCTGCAAGAGCTCCTCGTCGCCGTCGCCAAGCGATGATTGACGGCCACGTTAACACTAATAAACGGCGGTTGATTGTCGACGAAGAAACCGTTATTTCCGTTGACAGCTTACGCGAGTTCCAAGCGTCGACGATGGCGCTGGAACCGCGTCAAACCGTCGCTCCTACCGAAAGACTACGAGCGATCTACGAGGTCGCCTACAAGCGGCGCAGATTGCAATGGGAAGCTCAACCTGAAGCCCCTGCTGACATTCCTGAAAACATTGATCTTCCTGAGATTGGTCACGAACCCGAATCAGAAGTGCCTCTGCCGCTTAACTTGGATCAACACTTGGACTTTGACATTGATATCCCCGATATCGAGCCCCCTCATGACGACTATGAAGACCAACAACCGCCCGTGTTTGCGTCCGACGACTCTGGGTCCAGTTCCGTCGACATGGAGCACCAAATGGTGGTTACGTTAACCGAAAAGCTTGACGAGAGCCGCCCCACTGAGTCCACAACGCTTGCGTCAGTTATCGACGCCAGCAGTGCTTCTGTCCCAGCGACAAGAAAACATGCGGCTCTGTGCTTTTTCCAGATGCTTACACTTGCTACTAACGATGCTATTTACATCGACCAAGCCCCTTCTGCCACCGAGCTTGGCGGGGCTATCGACATTTCCGCCAAACCGAGACTTTGGACCCTTGCTTAATGACAATTTAAAATACGACGCTTCTTTTTTTCACCCCCACCACTTCCTCACCCCCCAACCACTTCCTCACCCCAACCACTTCCTCACCCCAAACACTTCCACATTGGCTTCGAGGGAACTGTGTTACTAAAATTAACTCGTAGTCTAAAACAAACACCCCCCTTTTTGAAAAGAAATCCATCGTCGATATCATTACAAATTAAGGGATCACATTCATGCAATAGCAAGCGGATATCAACCTCCTCCCTATCTCGATTACGATCCCACCAACACAATGTCCGCCTTACTACGGCAATATTTGTGTTCTTACCATTTTGAGGAGAGGGGGTGCCTCTCGGATAAACGTGCGACAAGTTTGCTTACAACCCGCTTTGTGTCACTAGGGGCGTTTACAAATTTTTCACGACTGTCGTGACACAAAACCTTATCGATGCGATAGACGAGAGATGGCTCTGTTGGTAGAGTTAACTAGACCACACCCACGACGATGAGGATGAGTTTAATCTGAGGCCATTGTGACGGCGACCGAGGAGCTAAAATTACACATTCATTAATAGATTAGTTTTACGGGGTATTTAGCCAAAATAACTCTAGAGAGGCTTAGAAGAGGGCGGCGCCGACAGCGACAAACAAGGCGGCGAAAAGGGCCAGCTTGCCCGAGACGCCCGAGGCGCCCGACTTGGAGGAGGAGCCCGAAGACTTAGCGGATCCGGATCCCGAAGACGACGACTTCGAGTCAGAGCCCGAGCCCGACGACGACGACGACGAGGTTTCTTCAGCGGCTCTGTCACCGGTAGACGACGAGGTGGCGAGACCCGAGGAGTTGCCCGCCTTAGACGACGACGACGAGGTTTCTTCTTGCTTAGCCTTGCACTTGAACTCGTCACCCTTAATGACGCTGTTGCTGTTCAATTTTTGGAAGGCGTCACAAGTCAAGTCACCGTCGGAGTCCAATTCAAAACCACCGGCCACTCTCTTCAATTCGGGGAAGTCGCCCTTGTCGAACGACCCGGTCAAGTTGACGGAACCGCCAATTTGAGTCAACTTAGGGAAGCTGTCAAAGCTCTTAAGCTTGTCGTTGTCACCGATGGTGAGGGCACCACCGATTTGGTTCAACTTGGTGAAGTTAAGTTGGGTCAAGTCCGAGTTTTCGTTGATGGCCAACGACTTTTGGATCAGTTCAACGTTGTTGAGTTCAAAGTCCTTCACCGACGTGCCGATCAACGACAACGTCCCGTTCACCGAGGTCAAGTTCTTAGCCGAGAACGACTTGATGGCTTGCAAGTTAAGGTCAGCGACCGAGGTCAATTGGTCCAAGGCGACGTCGACGTCTTGCGAGTTGTATGAGATGGAAAGGAGACCGGTGACCAGCTTCAAGTCGGACTTGATCTTTTCAATGTTGGGGTTGTTGTTGACGTCAAAGTTCTTAAGTTCGTAGACATCAATACCTTCCAACGACGACAAACCAGTGTCGGCGATCACCACCGAGTCGGCGGAGGTCAAACCCGTGGTCAATTCCAACTTGTCCAATTGCGAAAGCGCCTTGAGCGACAACGAACCGACGGTGGTCAATTGGGCGAGGTTGATTTCCTTCAACACGGTGGCGTTGACAACTTCAAAGTCCTTCGACACCGTCTGGAGGTCGGGGGCGAGGATCTGGTTGATTTGGGGGACGTTGTTGATGTTGACCGACCCGAAAATGGCGTGGACACCGGTCAAGTCGACCTGGTTGAGGTCGGAACCCTGGATGGTGATGTCACCGACGGCGGTGGCACAGGCAGCCACCTGCTGGATCTGGGCGGTGGCAGTGGCGGTGAACTTGTCAAACAGACAAGCCGACGCCACCAGCGACGGCGCGGCAGTGGCAGCAATCAAGGTCGAGTCTATATTCGGTTAGTATGTGGCCGTTGTCAGGTGGCACCCGGTGAGGCGCGTGAAGGGTTGGCTGCCCACAGGCGAAGCCACCATCCACAAACCAAACTTCCCAACGTGGCGTCGCAATAAACCACCGATACGGCCACCTGTCAATCAAGGCATCATTTGCCTTTCTCAGTCAAAGGCGAATGGGTCGAGGTCGGACGGTGTCGGCACGGGAAGCGGACCCGGGGGAAGTTGAGCGGTTGGCGAATGGGACGATTCCCTAAAAGTACTTACTGTTGGCGTCGGCAGCGACGGCGGCACCAGCCATGGCGGCCACGGCGAGGGTGTTCTTGATTTGCATAGCGACAGTGGAGGGAGAGGGAGGGAGAGGGAGGATGCGAGGGCGGAATAACGGTGGTTTTTAAAATGCCGCTGGGTCGCTTGGTGGAGGTATGTCCTGCACACAGCTGGGAAAGAGGAGGGCCGCTCGTACATGAATTTAACCTTGTAATGCCGAGGCGAGGGCGCTGCTCCCCTGAGGGAAGGCGAGAATTTTAGGGAAATACGAGGGTGGTGATGACGATGACCTCAAACAGTTGTAGCAGGGCCAGCTAAGTGGTTTACGACGGGGGCCAGTAAACACAGCGTACACACCCGCACCGGCACCGGCCACTTGGGCTAGTGCCGCTGCATGCCTGGTAAATAAACAATCGCACCCTATTAGGAAATGAGGCATGAGCAATGCGCACGCCGCCGCAGCCCGTCAATCGCCCCATCCGCTGAAGATTGTCCGGGGGACACACACACTTACTTACACAGCATGGGCCCCGGGTCTTGGCAAGCCACCACGTTGTCGGCTAAGTTTCCCCCGGCGAAAAACTCTGCGCCGTTATTCCTTCCCCTTCGTAAACTGCTGTTCGCAACTCCAAGAAATCTCCCCTGCCCCTAAGGTGCCAGGTGATGGCTGGCTACGCCTAATCGGGCACGGTCCCAGCCCCTCGTCGGTAGCCTCGTGGGCCCAGGGCTAAAACCAGCTTACTACGCAAGTAGCACCTCGTCACCACACACAAACCCAGCGTCGATATTTCAGCCCCAAACCAGGGCCAGGGCCCCCCAGCTAACCCCGAGGCTGCCGACAGGGGGTGCACTTTCCTACACCGACAACGCAGGCCTCTGTCAACCTGCACTCCCCATGTCACCGCAGCAGCACACCAATCATCACAAACAACACAAGCCCCACACCCCCTCGCTATCTACACGTACGCCACAGACGACACCCCCACCACTATCACTAACCACCAAGATTTCACTGACCGTTCGGTAAAACCTAAAAATAGAAAGTTCCTTTTTTCACCATTTATGGTCGTGTGGTGGGTAGTTGCTTTCTCGCCGAGGGCCCCCTCGGAGAACCCTCCTCTTTCACCGGCAACGGCCGCCCCGCACGCACCCATTTTGATCACCCGATCGGGAACGCCGAGAGTGACGACCTGAAATTAACCCCATCCGTTTGGCTGCTTTCACTTCCCCCCGTCAGTGTGCCAAACAGTGTGACTCTCGTCATCCAACCGTGTCTGCTGCCCGTTGCTGTCGCCTCGCCCCCCAGCCAGAAGCCCCTCACGGCGGGGACTGCCCTCTCCTATGTCCCTCGACAAGCCCCGGCCGCTCAAAGTCTACGGCCGCAGCCACTACGCCTGTTCCCGATGTAAGCTAGCGAAGACGAGGTGTCTGGGCGAACGTCCGCTGTGTTCAAACTGTGTCCAGGTCAACAAGGCCGACCAGTGTGTCTACCCCAGCCGTGACCGCAAGGTGGTGATTATGGAGCTGGAACTCGACAATTTGCACCGCCAAGTGCAGCATCTCAAGACCCAAGTGGCTGCTCAACCGACTCCCGGTGGCGACATGTGGCCCTACGATTCCATGGAGGACGTCAACAGCAGCCAGCTCCGCCAGTCCCTCGTGGCGACGGTGCGCAGCCAGCTCCCGTGTAAACCGGAAGAGGCAGCCCGACTAGTGGAGCGGGCCTACCACGCCTATTCCCTTGAGTTCTACTTGGTGCGGCTATCGCTGATCGCAGCCATGCTTGACCACGTCTACCACGTCGCCAGCCCGGAAACTTACCCGTACGCGCCGCCACCGCCGTTATACCCCACCCACGACACCGCGGCGATGTCCCCGTGGCGCCATTTCCAACAATTGAGCGCGTATATCCTTGCGTTGGTGGCATTCGGCAAATTGCTCGATACTGAAGAACCGGTGGAGAATAACCGCTACCCGGGCAGCCAGTGCTATCTCTTGGCAGAACAGTTGTTGCGGGTCAACACTGAGCATACGACGTTTGTCCACATCCAGACCGCCCTCGTGCTCGGTCTTTACGCGGCTAATTTCAACCGGTTCAACACGTGTTATAACCTCATTGGGATTGCGTTACGCCTGGCGGTAGCGTTAAACCTTCACCGTCATCGTGAATTGCTACCTACAGCTACCATTAGCGACCGCGCCGAAGCCGAACGCGCCAAACGTCTCTGGTGGCTGGTGTTTGTCCTCGATACCATATGGCTGATTAAAACCGTCCATTTCCAGTATACTGACACCGACGTCGACTTGCCTCTCGATAATGCCATCAACTTGAAGGAGGACTCGTTTGACAACGGGTTGCTTGAAGATAACGTCCACTTGGCAAAACATATTGCCAAGATCAGCCGCTTGATCTATGGTCCCAACATCCGCACCTTCTCCGTCAACTACATCAACCTGGCTGAGTTTACCCAGAAGCAGCTATTGCTACACATCTTGAACCTGTTTGATACGATGCAAAACGACTTTGAAGAGTGCCACTTGTGGCTCCGCAAACGCCAGCATATCCTTGAAGGTGGCATCCGCGCCGAGGCGAATTTATTTCTCCGCTACCACCAAGCTTTAATCATTCTTTCAAAACCAATCTTCCCCTTGCTACACGAGCCATTGCTCCAGTCGCTCATTGAGGAAAACCGTCTGAGGATCGAGTTGTTAACACAAAAGTGCGTGGCCGCCGCCATCGCCACTATTGAGATCATTACGACTATTCGCTCCCAGAACTTGCTTTTCAAGCTTGGGTTTTGGGAGGCTCAATACGTGTTCATGGCGATGATAATGCTCCTTGTTGCCCGTACTCGCAACATCAAAATACCCCTGTTTGTGTACGGGATGCTGTTGCTCCGCCATATGGCTCATTACCGAAACATCAACGCCATCACTTGTCTCAAGAGACTTGATCAGATGATGGATTTACTTCAAGCTAATGGAATGCCATTGGTACCAGCTTCAGAAACTGACGTCACCCCAGTGGCTCTTGAACAATATTGTGGTTACTTACCGTCGACCATGGTGGTGGACATGCCTACCCTTGGGTGGTTTGTCCCTAACCCTTGTCCCGGCAATCACGGAGAGCTTCTTCACCGACTCTTCGCCTTCGAGGAACTTACATTCTCTATAGACGGCAACTAGTGTGCCATGTATTTATTAATATCTATAATCCGTCCTCAAAGTTGAACAGCGGCTCGTTCATGTTGAGCTGCTGCTCAATCATCTCCGTCCACGGACCCACAAAGTCAAGCCCGATGTTGCGGTCATTGACGAACCACTCCATCACCTCCAGATCACCAATCACTTGGTTGGGAGTGCCTCCTGTCGACGGCGACGACGTGGTGCCAGTGACTTTGGCCAGAGCATCATCACCAAAATTGATGTCGAACATCTTTAACGGGATACTGAAGTTCAGCGGGTCATTCAAGTCGTCAGAGTTGGTATTGGTGGTAGAGGTTGCAGGTCCACTGGCAGCAGTAGCGGCGTCGTTGGTGGCTGTGGCATTAGTGGCAACATTAGCCGGGACCTCGTCCGAATCACCAGTCTTGGTCGTCTTCATCTCCAGGCACAAGTACATCAAAATATTACTATAACGAGTGCACAAATGCAACTCATCGGGGGAACAGTCCCGGAGCGTAATGGCAGCCCGCTGGATACTTTGAATGATATCGTCGATAGAGATAAGCGACAACGAAAGCACCGTCAGATCAATGTCGTACAGCAGCAGCTGGTTTTGCGGTACTCTTTGCAGACGCTTATGAGCGGTAATGGTAAGGTAGCACTTAACAATAAACGCCACTGCTCTCACAAGCCGAGTAAGCCAACGTACGGGCATGAACCGAAGCATCTTAAGCTTGTGTACTCGGTGAGCACTAATCAACATTTCGTTGGCAGCGGTGAATGCTTGCTCGATGTATTTCGCCAGACGGCTGATTTCATCAAGCTTGAGCGCCGGCTTCCGCTTCAGTTTACTCAGAACTTTCGTCGGTGGTGTCGGTGACAACGCAAGCGAGAAAATGTAAAGCTTCAAGTAGTTGAACTCAAAGATGAACAGCTCTTGCTCAATAGCCTGAGTGATCTCCTTGGCAACCTTGCTGTTGGGGTTGCTCCATACGTGCTGAAGATTAGCCACATTGCGGAGCATTTTCGTCGTCAGCGGCACCAAGAAATGGCGGTACTTGCGACCCCAGTTGTTGATCAACGGACTGAAAATATTCAAAATCATAAGATTTTGCCGTTGGGAAAGACTACCAAGTTGAGCCTTGTACCCATAGAGAGCCTCATGTCCCACCAGCATGATTTGAAGTAACTCTATCTGTGCCTTTTGCAGCTCAGTGAACCGAAGCACGTGTTCGCTACTGAGACGTTTGAGTTGTTCTTCGGTCATCTTGATAATCTTGTCATCAACATCCTCCAGTTGTTCCATTTGCTCGACACTAACATCATCCTCATCGAGTTCAACTTCGGCCAACAGATGAGCCAACATCGAGCGCCGACTGATATTCATCACTGAGTTGATTTCTGCCAAATGCGTCGCTAAGAATGTCTTGGGAGAGATCTCCATAAACCCCATGTCTTGAGCGAGTCTCACCGCCAGCCCAATCAACATCCACGCCATACGATACAGTCTCCGCATAGCACCAAGCCCCGCAAGATTCTCCCCCAGCGTGTCGTGAGCCGCCGGCTTAGCTCCTGCCAGTGCCCCAGCACCGTTCACCCCGCCCACGTCGGTTTCGGGGTCCTCGGCCTTATTGGCGTAGTCCAGCCAGCGCCAATGGATGGCTCGCGGGTTCCATTCGGTGAAGAGTAAGAACGCGAATACCGTACCTAACGACCGCGTCAGCGCCTCTGCCCATACTGTCTGCGAGATGAGACGTTGCACGTAGAGCCAAAGACGGTCGTGAACCTCAATGTTCCGCGGTACTCCCCCGCCACCAGTAGTACCCACGTTATCCTCAAAAGGGTGGTAGCGCAGGGCAATGGTCAAAATAGCACAGAGTAAAATTGGGTAGTTGGCGAGCACATTGGGCAGCTCAAGAAACTTTGGCAAATGGGGGAAAAACGGGTGCATGGTGCTGAAGAAGTAGTTGATGAGTCGTTCAGCCTCAACCTCACTGACAATACCCCCTTCCCCAATGTAGTCAATGTTACTGAGCTTATTCGACGCCCGAGGACGAACCACATACCCGTTTTCCGCCGGAGGCATCCTCATCCGAGTACGCTTCAGTGGCTGAATATACTCCGGTACCAGCGCCGTTCGTGTTAATGGAGGCAGCTGGTGAGGCAGCTGAGAATTGAGGAGCATGTCCAAATTAGTGGGATCGCGAGTCATCGTCGTGGACAGCGAGATCCCGTCAGACACGGTGCTGATATGGGTATCCAGGTGACGACGTTCTTGTTCCTCCAGCGCGATCTGCTGGTGACGCTTCATGGCATCAATATTATCACGCTCGTCAGCCTTGGCGATGGTACCTGCGGCTTTAGCCAAAAACACAAGTGCCCCTTCCATAGTGGAAAAATGACTCAGTTCCGCCAGTGGCGGCGCCTGATCCGAGGCTGGAGGCGGGGCTGATGCCGAAGGCGGCGGCGTTTGTGATTCGGTCAAAATTTGCTCGTTGTTACGTTGGAGCATCAGCGTCACCAGCGGAAGCTTCAGTGGGGGCGCTATCGGCATTGATCCCAGCGGCGGCACCATACCTTGCGGCGGCAGCGTCACATTGGTAAAATTATCCCTGACAATTGGCTTATTGCTGTAGGTTTCATCAGCCACCTCATCGTATTTCCGTTTTTGTCGCCCCATGATGACGTTGGTGGCCCCGCCTCGCTTCAGCTCAACAAACACACAGTCTTTACGCTCCCGAAGACATCGTGCACACTTGCCCTCTCTGGGACTATCCACAGGACCCAAATCACACTTCACCTTACGGACTCTGCAATTGAGACAAGCGCGGTAGTTCCGTTTATACTTGTTGGCATCCTCCTTAGCCCGCATCCCGTAATCCTCGCCAGCTGAGTGGCTTCCAGGAGACTCGTCCTTCATCTGGTACAGCCCTGACAACCAGTGTCGCAAATATAGCCCCTAGTACTGGCCCAGTGGCGGTCGAAGTGATGCCGTGGTGGTCGCTCCTCGGATGGATTGTTTTCCGGTGCGACCCGTCGATTGCCGCGGTGATGCCTCTGTGCTCGGCGCCGCACCATAGTGCGGACCTAATAAAAAGAAGAGGGGAAAAACGTGGAGGCCCAAGAGGAATTACCAGATTTCACTTTAAGGTTGGTAATTGCATGTGAGAAAATCGAGTGGTTTGCAGAGGATTGACTGTTGTTAGAAATGTAACGAGTGACGGCAAAAAGTAAGCCCAATGCGGGGCTCGAACCCGCAGCCTTGAGATTAAGAGTCTCACGCTCTACCGATTGAGCTAACCAGGCTTGTTGGCGNAGTTTGTTCGGCCTTGGAGGAATACCCCGTCGAAGATACTTACACACCGGTATAGGTTTACCGGTAGGTGACCGGGGCATGGGTATTCGCCGGTAGGTTCCGGCGGTGGTGCACTCGGGAGGAGTCCGCGTGAGTATTATATAGAAGCATACGTGATAACTCCGGCAACGGAGTTGTCACGGTGCGGGCAGCTTAAGGTGTTCAACCCTAGGCTGAGCTGAAGTCACCCGCTCGTTGGATGCACGCCCTGCATACACCGTACAGACCCAGCACATACCCGGCGGGGTGTCGAGATTACAACCATATGCATCTAAACACAGTTATCGAAAGGTATCAAGTTTGAAGTAATGTTGGTCTCGACATCCCGCCCTTTTTACGTTTGGCTATTTCGAGTAGTACACGACTTTCACCCAACTTAATACAACAGGCGCTTGAAGGGTTACGGCGATACACACGGTACAGTCGCAGTTTGATATCAGAGTTTTTCATCACAACTGTCCAATTCATGTAATTGCTTAATGGATCAATTGAGTATCATTGAAACAAACATTGAAATAAGGTTTACCAAGACTATAAGGTCTTTCAAAAGCCAAGAATGAAATCCGAATGCAGGATTTTAAAACAATAAGCTAAGAATCACTACAAATTAATAGATAAAGAAATAAAAAACGACGGAGATTCCTGTGCTATAACTAAAATGCTGTACCGATCTATTTGTTGGTAATTAATCTTGAGTATTACGCTTTTTGGGCCTCAGTTTGGGTTTCGATTTTGAAAAATCTGTATAGTAAGGCAATCTCACCAGGTGAGGGATCTTAGCATCCAATGTAGAAACATATGGCGGTTTCTTGTTAATTGGTTTTATGTCATTGACCTTTTGCTGAAATTTGACTAGCACAGCTTTTCTCACGGCTTGTTGCCATTCCTCAAAGAATCGTCGACGAGATGAATCACCCACTGGGTGTGCGTAATATTGAATTCTCCACACCCCACTAACCATCGATTGCTGACGTTTATCAAGTTTCAGAAGTGCTTCGAACATGGCATCACGGCTAAGCTTTTTGAATGTCGTTCGACCCCACGCCGTATCGCAGGGCCGGAGACTAGACTTAAAGTACACGTCGCTTTGAAATTTCCCTTTATACTGACTAAGTCGCTTATCTAGCTCTTTGTCATCAAATCGGGCCCCAGGTATCATGGTAAAGGTGAGGGCAACTAAGGACTTGCGGTACTTTGATAGCGGATGGCTCGCGGGGTAAAATTGTAGCATAAACCAATCATTCTTGGCCAAGATAGGAACCAGAGAGTTTACTTGTTTCTGTCGAAGCCACATTGAAGCATTGGCATCGATGCCTTTGATGTCACTGGGGCGTTGAGGCCATTGAGTGAGATTGGGAGATGGCTTCTTGAATTGAGCATGGTTCAACACTCGTGGACCAATATCTGCAAAGGGTGACTTTGTCGGAATCGCCACCGGAAGCAATATCGGCGGCTTTGTAAATCTCATTGCATGCCGTCCCTGTCGCTGTACTTTATCACGCGCCGCATCGATAGTGAAGTGCGGCTCAGAGATTATTCACTATCATGGTGCGATGCCAATTCTACACCAAGATCGGGGCGTGTCGCCACGGCGATAAGTGTTCTAAGGTTCATGTTAAGCCAGTCCACTCAAAGACGGTGCTCATGCCCCACCTCTATGTTCCCAAGACGATGGCCAGCGATTTCCCAGAGTTTTTCCTCGATGTTTTCCGCCAACTCGCCACCTACGGTGAAGTGAAATCAGTGGTGGTGTGTGAAAACGAAAACAGCCATCTTAATGGTAATGTCTACGTTAAATATGCTACTATACAGCAAGCGGAAGCTGCGGTTACTGGACTCAATCAACAGTGGTTTGATGGGAGACCCGTTCATTGTGAACTCAGCCCCGTGGAGAATTTCGGCGAGGCCGTGTGCCGAGCCCACGATACCAACAGTTGTAATCGTGGCGACAAGTGCAACTACATGCATGTACACACACAAAACGATCCAACGTTGAAGCGCATTTTGCCCAGTCACCAGAAGCTGTTACTCCAAAAGCAATTACAAGAGCTTCAGGAAAGCTCAGCGGCGCAAAAGGCACAAGCACCCGTTCCGCCGTCACTGACACTCAACATGTTACTGAAAATGTTCAATCATGAGGCTGCTGCTTGATGAAACCTGAAGTATGTCACGTCATCGCATGGTATCCAAACTATGATGTTTACTAGCGGCCATTGAATCTTGGTACAACATTGTGACCTTTGTACGAAAGCATTGAGTGTCGTTCTAGCGTTAGAGAAAACTCATGGATCAAATCCTTGCCACTAACAAATTTGACACATGATTGGTATCTCAAGTCGACGAGGTTGTAAAGTGAAGCGTATGTTCGGTTCAATATGAAAGAGGAAGTTCAAAAAAGCTCCATTTCAATAATGGACAAGTCTCTCTGTTTGAGCCCACTTCACGACCACAGCATATCATTAATTAGTGCCCCTTTCAAACTAAAGATATTGATAACTTCATTTCATTGGCTATTCAAGTTTTGTCATTACAATTCTGAGTAGTGATCCAGGCAAAATTGCAGGTAGACGTGAGCAATTTCCAGACGGTCAGCACTGCTAAGGCGGGTGATACCTTCCAGCTCACAGAGCGTAGCGTTGTCAACGATGCGACGTACCAGCTCGATCTCTTGCTCTACACGAATGTCAAACATGTCCTTGAGCTCTTGAAGCTTCTTGCATACCCGTTCTCTTAATTCGATACGCTTCAAGTGAGCTTCAGCGACAGGAACAGCTGGAGGGTCAGCTTTCAAATCTTCTACCAAAGAAATAGCAGCAAAGTGGCAGTGCTCGAGAGCAGCACAGCCTTCTTCCTCCAACTTTTGCATGCGATCGATAATCTCCCTTGCCATCTTTTCATCCTCAATAGTAACGAGTGAAGTCAATTCTTCAATCAGTGCATTCTGCTCAGTGATGGAAGCAAAAGTGGTATCGGGATTTCCATCATCAGACTCCCCACCTTCAGGCTTTTCGTCGCCAGGCGATTTGACGTTGGACTTGTCCTGCATGGGTTTGTCGTCAAGTTTAACCTCGTCAAACTCAGAGATTGACTTCGTGATATCCATGGTTGAATAATTTCGAGACATAGAAGGTTGCTATATTTATAAAGGGCAAAGGGTCTTGCAACTTCCCATTCGACATTGCAAATATGACACGATATCTTCTTCAAAAATCATCAGCAAGTGTAGCACACGCTTTGATTGATTCACAAAGAAGAATGTATAAACAAGAACATAAACGCACTTCTAAACTTGTAGGATTTAAAAATTAAATTTGAAATAGGAGTCTTTGTTGAAGTTCATTGGAAATATAGGTTTATTAAATTACGAGTCTTTAATTTACATTCGTGGAATGCGGGAATAAATATTTAAGACTGCTGATAATGATCTATAACAAGTAATGCATCGGAAATGTGGGAGAAATACGGCGCTGTGTGCAGTTCGATTAATCCCTGCCCATCATCGGGCCAATTCTGGTAGTACCCAAGCTGGAAAAGAGTGTTGTTCAAATACCGCGGAACCCCAATGTCGTCGAGTCGCTGGCGAACTCGAGGATTAGACGAAACTCGAACAAAGAAAACGTAGCGGCGCTGGGTAGTGTAGCTTTCAAGCAAGTCAACAAGAATTCGTGCCGCCAGAGAATCAATACTTGTCATGCCATTAAGATCGAAAATGATATAGGGAACAGCATTAGCGGTTCGAGAGGCATGGCTAGCAGGATGTGCAACAGTAGATCCATAATTCTCCACTCTTCGCAATCGGGCACGAAGATCTTGACAATTGGTAAAGGTAAGCGGCTCAGGAATTTTGACAATCATGCAACCCTCGACTTCTTCAAGTAATTGTTTGTTGAGCCGGGTGAGATTGCTGTCATTGAAAAAGTCAGGAGAAAACGAGATCGACGTTGGGATGTCAGCATCAGTATATTGATCGGTGCCTGGTTCTCGTGCCAAAATTTGAATACGCAGTTTCGCCAGGTGCTTGATCACTCTGATGAGAGAGAACACGAGCCCAATGGCGATACCAGCCTCCATGGAGAAGAAAAGCGTGACGCTAACTGTGAGAGCGAATGTGATGATCTCCAGCCACCCACGACTGATGACGTGAAAGTACACTTCATAAGGGGCTTCTTCGATGAGGGAAATACCAATCACCGCTGAAATCACCAGAAGAATACATTCGGGGACGAAGTAGAAATATTTGAGGCATCCCACAATAGCAACGAAGGTGAAAAGCCCCATAAAACCCGCCAGCATGGTTGTTTTAGCAGTGATGGCGTTGATTTTCAGTCGACCATAACCACCGAAGGCCGGTAATGCGCCGAATACCAGGTTCACAAGATTAATGAATCCAAGTGCAACCAATTCACGGTTAGACAGAATCGGCAAATCATAGGTCAGGCCAAGCAGCTTTGACGCAGTGGTACTTTCGAAGAAACCAAGCATAGCGCACATGAACCCCAGCGTGGAGAGTTGCCTTGCCAATTTGAACTCGTCACGAGTCAATGGATTGAAAAGCGTGAGCAGCTCCAGGTTCTTAACCTTCCCAATAATGTTGATTCCCTGCTTATCCCAACGGTAATGACCACAAAGTACAGTTGCAGCCACAAACACAATCATGATTTCCGGGAAGTAAACGGCGTATTTGTACTTGGGATGTTTTCGAGCTAGTTTAGCGGCCCGCTTCTTGAGGGAGCGAATAACCATAATAATGATGAAGCCAGTTGCCAGAATTTTGAGCGAAAGCGATTTGTAATGCTTCCAATAATGGAAAATGAACATCAATTTCGAGAAGGGCGAGTGAATATCCATTTGATTAGGATCATCCGATACTTCTTCCAAAAGTTTTTCAAGGCCAAGCATTACCACGGTGGAGTTGATACACATAACGATACCCACACCACAAATGAATCCTTTGAGAAGCAGTGCCAGTAACACGTTATCTAGGAAACCAAAGCGGCCAAGGCCAAACCCAAGTAATGTAGCCCCCAGCACGAACGTAATGGCGCAAACGAACGTGAGTGGGTCCTTTTTCGAATGGTGCAATAGCGGCTCCACTGCTTGACCCACTACCAAAGAGATGGGAGCTTCAGGCCCAACCACCATCTGTGGTACACTTCCAAATACCACGTAGATCAAGGGGGAGATTGCTAACGAGTAAAGACCCAGTAGCACGGGGACCTTAGCCAAAGTAGTAGCATAACTAAGTGCCAACGGAAGCTGAAAGAACACGAGGGTAAGCCCACCAATTAAATCGCCCCAGAAGCACAGCCACAGGTACAGAGGGATCCACAGAAGACAGGGAAGATAGTAGGGTAATATCTCCCCCCATGTGAGTTGCTGGATCAGCAGACTGGTGGTGGCGTGGTAAAGTGGTGGTTGGGCGTAGCTGATCAGCACCAAGTCCTCTTCATCCGTGGCTCCATGAACCGCCAGCGGACCTTGAGTGGGGATGAGAGGTGTGCGCTGATTAGATTGGCGAACCTGGCGGAGCGGCAGATTCAGCAGAACTCGGTGTTGTACGCGGCGGACGGGATCTCGTGGAGAACGGGACGGAGACAGCGACATTTCGGGGAGTGTATAGGGAAAACCACGGTTAGTTCCGACCAAGCGAGAGAATTATAGCGTGGATAATCGCGGCGGAGGGTAATTCAGGTAGGTGGCACGCCCGTGGGAGTGAGATCAGCGTATGTGGGTGTCGCCCACAGCCAAGAGTGTCTGCCAGTGTGGGGAGTGCATGGAAGCACGTGGGAGTGCAGACAGCAGCTGATTTGCACCAGCGACATCAATTGATAAAATAGTGACAGTGATTAAGCCAATTTGCGCTACAATATCTACTGAGATGAATGCATCTATCATTACATTGATGTGTTTTGAATAAATTATATGAGACTGCAGAAGTAGCTTCAGTGTGAGCGGATGCCAAGTAGACGGCTGTGCATTCTCTGCAGCCAGGCGGGTCGCAGTCAAGAACTGCTGACCCCAAAGTTCGGCAGCGGTAGCGATGCCATGTCGATGTCGGGGAGAGGTAGAAGTTGGTGGGTAGGTCCCGGTTGAAGCGCTAGAAGCTCACGGTATTGACGTCTAAGCTCAAGCTGACGTGGAGGTATGGGTGTCTCGTCGTAGTCGTCTTCGTCATCGTCGTCATCATCGTCGTCGTCATCATCATCATCGCCGGCGTCAAGATTAGCCGGCAGCAGTGATTGTGGATCTCCTACCTGATGAGGACTTGTCGGCATGGATAGCGCTTCCAGCTGTCTCCTCAGCTCTCGCTTACCTGCTACAGTACCCTTATCCCTTTTGAGCAACTTCATATCAGCATCGATTTCGTCGGCGCTGAGACCAACACAAGTGGTAAGATTGGCACCAGCAAATGGTGCCGTTGTAGCGATAGCATTTCTGATATCCAGTATTTCCACTGGGTTTTTCGCCGCGTAGTCGTTATCCAAATCAGTGTAGTGAGGATCTCGTGACCTGGCCAAAAGGTCTCGAACACTCTCCGTCGCCGTCTGTTCAATAACCTCATGTTCAGGCCGATCACGTAATCGCGCCATATGCCGTGGAGTGAGTTTGCTCCGGTAATACTGAACAGCCTTTTCGTGCTTTGGCTGATGGTAGTTAACATCGTGATATCGATTGTGGAGCTCATACAACTCGCTCACGGTGTCATCAATGAGCTCGCGTCGATAACGGCACATTTCTCTGTAGTATTGCATCCACACGATGTCTTTGTTGGCTTTGGCATTAGCTTCGACAAGATTTATCTGGTAGCTTTTCTCATTCTCCGCTGCTCGTATCAGCCGCTTATGAGCCGCAAATACTTGGTCAAAGAGGTAGGGAAATGGCGGACGTTGTAGTTTAACTCGCTTTCGTGTTGACCCTCCTATCTCAGATGCTGGTTGTTGTGATATGTCATCGAGAAGAGGGTCCATGTCCCGAGGCAGCTTCAAGTTGGCGATGATGCGGTTTAGCTCACGTTCATACAGCCCCAAAGTATCGAAATTGACGGTATTATCGAGGATTGCTCGCTCAAAATGTGTTTTCATGGCCAGTGCTGTTTCGCTTTCCCGCAGACAAAATTGGTTCCACTCCTGCTCGTGGGCAACGGTTTGGTTTAACGCCTGATTCACCATATCAAGCATTCGACTAACCCTTTGCTGACGGACTTTGACATATTCTCGAGACAACTGGGAAAATTCAGTGCTGAGCTGCTTTTCGAGGCTGGCTAGCTGGTCCGGCGCCAACAGCGTAAGCAGCGGTAAATCTTGGGGAGAAAACGGGGCAAAATCCATATGTGTATTTCGCCGACGCTTTTAGAATTTTATAACAAAGATATCGGGGGTATAGCTGATGATAATGCTCGTCGCTGTCTCGGCAATCGCTAATTCGCAACCAGTGCGAGTGGAACATTGGCACCTACCGTAAATACGAAATTAGCGCTTTGACACCGGACACTCGTCAACTACACAAAATCAGACTAACCAAAATGATTTGATGTTTCGAGCATGAGGCAATAACATAGATGTAAAAAATGTTTGATTTTGATTCGAGGTAGTGACCTATCACGTCAATGGTAGCGTCATCGCCGAAAGTTGGCGGACACAGCCTACAATAAACAGTGTTACACAATTAAAAATTCTTCATAAACATGTGGCATAGCTAACTAACGATCTTCGGCCCATTCGTTTTCCCGACGAATGGCGGCTTCTTCTTCAGGGGAGAAATCGTTGACGATGTTGAAAATACGTCTCAATTCCTCGGGCGACTTGCCACGGATCATCTCGGCAACGATCTTGCACCCGGAGTCCAACAACGGACGGATGTTCAAGTAGTTGGCCGCGAGAATGATCTCGTATAACATTTCTTGGTCGACCTTCAAGAAGTTCTTGTCCCATTCGTCGACGGGGGCCAGCTTTCTGGCGTCTTCATCGTCGTCGTCGGGGAAGGGGGTGTTCTTGTGGTGTTCACACCATTCCAAAACCTTCAGTAACACGTTGGCTCTGACATTAGGGGTGGGAATTTCAAAGTCCTCGGACAACCCGTCGGGGTTCAAGTCGCTGATCATGTTCTTGATCAACACCAGCTTCTCCGCGACCTTGACGTCCACGGGGAACTTCTCTTCATCAGCACTGATGATGATAACCTTGGGTGCAGTCGACATTGGTAAGGGTGAGGTGTGGGAAGGCTGGAGAAGGTGTGCGAACTCAAACTAATAGACGCGGACGACGATGAATTATAGGTGGCTAGCGCAGAGAAATCGCGTCATCAGCCCAATGCTACGCAGAGCTTATGGCTGCCATTCAAATCATACGACAAGGCACTCTGTGAAGATTTTTCATTGGGTGACGTGTTAGGTGATACCTCGTAACGCGGCACCGTCGGTCTCATTGTATGGTTAGGCTTCGTCGATTGTATGAATGAAGGACGCTACGATAGTTTCGAGCCTGCACATTCACAGTGAACACCTATAGCTACTAACTCGTTTGATGTCTACAGAACAATTGTTCATTGAACGCACATGCCTAAACCATAAATTTTTACTACATTTAAATTTCCTCGTTTGAAAATAGTAATTGGTAACCACTTCTTATTCTTTCCTTTACTGGCATTATATATTTCTATGTTACTCAAAGTTAGAGTAGATACCGGCGCTAAAGTCGTCTAATTCTTCGGAGTCGTTTAATGTGTTGACGTAGATGTTACCCGTCAATTCTTGATCTTGGGCTTGGCCCTGGGCTAAGCTGGCAATGAACCCTTCGAGCTGGTCGTCGTTTTCCAACTCCTGCTGGTGGACTATGTTATTGTTGTCCGCCATCACGCCCAGTTGCACCGACAATTGGGCCAAGAACGTCGCCAACTTGAACTTTTTGTCGTCGTTGCCAAACAAGGGAGGCGGCGCATCTTCCGCCAGCAGCATCAAGAGACTCGAGTGTCCCATGGCGCCTTCACCCAAGTTCACTTGCAAATTGTACTGGAGAGTGGCCAACATGTGGTGGATCAACAGCTTAAACAAGCCGAGGCAGTACACGTTGTCCAGAATGATCAGGGTCGTCTCGTTGATGAGCTTGACAAAGCCCAGGTCGGGCCGGTCCAACTGGTCGATCATTTGAGGGTTGGTGTTGGCCAACGTTTCCATTAAGTCATCGTAGGCAGTGGGAAAAAGCAGTTGCGTCATGTCGGTGGCGGGGATGTCATCGATGACTTCCAGTAACAATCGCAGGAACTCGCCAATAGCCAATTCCAGCTTGGGCTTAATCGCTTCAAACCTCGCCTCCACCAACGGTTCAATAGTATTGGCAATCTGCTTCCAGCCCTTGTTCAACAACCACCATGACAACAGCAAGTATGCTTGTTCGGTGACGTAAGTGTCTTGGTTGTCGCCTTGAGGCGGTTGCAGCGGCTTCACCCCCGCCATTTGGATGGCGGCTTCCAAATACAGGCGTCGGGCTAAAATGTTAAGCTGAAGTCTCGTAAGCAAAAGGAGCGCCGTGATCAGATAAGCAAGGGTGAGAGTGCGAGTGATGGTCTTGATCTTAAGCTTTTGCCACAATTCGGCCTTCAGCATGTTGACGTAGGGTTGCAACTTGGTGTCGGCTTTGTCAAGCAATTGCAAGTTGTCCTGGGTCAAGCTGGCCGCGGTAGACAGCGCAGCGGTGGCGTTGCTTACCAGCGGCTGCTTCTTGACCTTAAGCGCCTGGGTGATTACCTCGGTGGGCAAATAGTCGGACACGGGCGTTGTAAGCACGGGAAGCAACGCTAAAATCGTGTAGTAACAGTCCTGCTGTGTCTGAATGAACCGCTGCTTGATCTGCTGTTTGAAGATGAGTTCCTGTTTGAGCGAATTCTGGAAGTTGCGGAACTTTTTGATCACCAATTCGTTGACGAGGAAGTACGTCGAGATGGCCACCGACGCTGCCACAATGATCTTGCGCTTGTGGCGCTTGAAGAACGCTGCCAACGATGAAAACACAGGCATAGCAACGGGGGTGGGGGGGCGGTAATCAAGCGGGCCACCAGTGTCTGTGGGGTGAAAAGATAATGCCCTCGGGATACGTGTGGGGGATGGTAGCGCGGCGCGCACTGGACCATGTGACTTTGCCCCCAACACTCCCACTTAGTGCCGTGGCCCTGTCGCTCTCACTAGTGGTCTCGTGACCGCCCGTGCCGAGCCGATCCCCGGTCAATATTTCAAGAATCAGTGATTTTAACGATGGTGGGGACACGGCGGCGGTGGGGCTTAAAGCGGGGGTTTAAAGGGGCTCTGAGGCAGACAGGCACTGGCGTGATGTCTGTCATTTGTTCCCCATGTGTTCAATGCTAAAACAGGGCGTGGAATGTGTGTTTTGAATCGCGAGAATTGGTTTATAGCCACCGGCCAAACCCGTGTTTTTGCCAGCGAAAATTAGGTTAGTTAAGTTTACAACAATAGCGTCACGCACCCACGTCCGGAGACCCCAGTCCCGACTCCGGGCTTGGTTAGAGTCCTTGTCACTACATTCCCTAACTCTGGAATGCGTGCCGTTGGTAAATACCGCTAGGCATTTCTCTTTGCGCTAGGGTTGCGATGACCCGGAAGATATACGTTTAGCAAACTGGGCACCAATTGTCACGTATACTTTCCCGGATACCCAAAATCAATCATGTTCTGGTGGGTGGTGGCAGCAGCCATGGTGCTTGCAACCAACAGCGCACGCCGCGATAACAATGACGCAGCCGTGGTGTTCACTGTGTATGCCAGCGACACCGGCGACCATCCCCTGCTCACCATCCCCGTTAATGTTGGCTCTAATGCCCAAGCATACCGGTGGGGATTGCTGTTGTCGCAGCTGGGGCTCTTTGTCGTCGATCCACTGATCCAATGTCTCGATGGTAAGAACAAAGCGCCCTGCCACCAGTTACCTGATACGGGGTATCTGTACCTGCCGCTGACTCTGCTCACGTTCTCAAAGCAGGAGAAGTTCAACCAAGGACCGTTCAAAGGGACATGGGCTCGCGATAAGTTTACCATTGAGGACCAAGTGTATCACGACTTTCCCCTTGCCGTGCTCAAGCAAATCCCCGATGACTTTGTCCCCGCCTTTGGCCTTGGTCCAGCTTCAACTGCCGGCAAAAACAACTACCCGGGGCCTCTGGTACTGGACAATAACACTGTGCTCGGAAACCTCAAGCAGCGCCTGGTGATCCTGCGACAGATGTTTTCTCTATCAGCAGACGACAACCCCGATATCAATGGATCTGCTCTGGCAAACTGGACCCTCATCTTAGGGGGTGTCGATTTGGCTCGTGTCGAGTCGTCATTTGTTCGCCTCCCACTTGAGGTGAGTGATGATGTCTATCTGGTGCTTAATGGGGTGGATATTAGCGATACCCCAATTCTCGCTAAGGCGTATAAGCTCAGTTTGTGCTACCAATGTCGCAGCCACTGGCCTCTAGACGCATACTCAGCCGTCGTTGCCGCGGTATCCCGTTACACTAACCTCGCCTCAGACGGACTGTTCGCCTGCGCCGATATTGTCAACGTGACCATGAAATTGGACTTCGGCGGGGTTGAGATGCCAATGGCTCTCTCGGCTGTTCTTGCTACAAACGACCCGCAAACATGTCAGGTTCGCCTCGACTCGTCGCTGTCGGCAATTGCCTTAGGGTTGTCGGTATGGCGATATCTCATTACGGTAATCGACTACGAGACGCTGATTTTTGCCGTCGCAAAAACCAATTTCACCCGTAGCAGCCGCCGTATCGGCGCCAACATCCCTTCACTCATTGAGGGTAATGTGCCCTTAGTAAAGGGGTTTGCCCCGGGTAGTCGCCGTGAAAGTGCCGGCCACACTCGCCTCATGCCACTGTTTGTGCTGTTTGGGTCTTGGCTCCTATTGGTTGTGTTGCTAGTGCTGTAAGGAGTAAGGAGGCAACTCCAACCTTCACTGGGGCCCACGGGGGCCCTGCTCCTATCAAGTAGCGACGTGCATGGTGCAGTTCAGCAGTGTGATGGATACCGGAAATAACCATCGCACATCCTCAATGGATTCAAATACTCTGGTGGTTAAAGCGTCCAGTGGATGGGACCAACTGCCCTACCACCAACCCAGTTGTCCCGGCGATGGCGCACCGCCCCACCACACCCGCATTAATCTTGCCAACGTTGTAAAGCTTACGTCGCACGCCAACGCCCCGATTGGTGAGTATCGAGTTTAGAGCCCCGGCATTGCCGCATGCACTATACCCACCCAGGCGACGATAATAGCACATTGTCGTTGGAACGTGGGCACGGCACCATGTGGGGCTGTTTCCCGTCACACCGGTTAAATTTATCATATAAAACCCAATCTCATCCCTCTATTTAGTTCTCTATCATTTTCGCCATGCAATTGTTTCTCTGGTTGCTCGTGGCCGTGGCTGCCGCCAAAACCATCTTGTTGACCAACGATGACGGCTACTACGCCACCAACATTCGTGCCACCTACTACAAGTTGAAGGAGGCCGGTTACAACGTCATTCTTGTCGCCCCGGTGGTGCAGAAGTCTGGTAACGGTGGTAAGTTCGACTTGCCCGAAAACACCACTTTGCAACGAGACGGTGAATTCGGCTACGTCAAGAAGGGTGCCCCCTCGTGGGACCACGAACCCGATGACGACCACATCTGGTACTTCAACGGTACCCCCGCCTCGTCGGTGGCGTTCGCCTTGTCGTACTTGATCCCTCAAAAGTTTGGTAACATCTCGGTTGATTTGACTGTGTCTGGTCCTAACGAAGGTACCAACCTCGGCCCCGGTTTGTTCTCGATCTCTGGTACCATCGGCGCCGCCTACAACTCCGTGTACCGTGGTGTCCCTGCCATTGCCTTCTCGGGTTCCAACTCGAACAACTCGCTCTACACTGACGACCTCGCTTTGAACGACACCAAGTCGCCTGCTACCATCTACGCCAACAAGGTCGTCGAACTCGTCAACACCTTGTTCGCTGCCCTGAACAGAACCAAGCAGCCCGTGTTGCCTCTCGGCTACGGTGTTAACGTCAACTTCCCCCCTGTCGGCCACGAAACCGGCAGAGGCTCCAAGCACGGTGGCCAAGAATGCTTGGACCCCAAGTGGGTCAACACCCGTATCACCGGCAACGACACCTTGATTCCCGATGTCAAGATCGAGGACGGCAAGCCTCCTATCTGGAGCCCTAAGGCCTACCCCGGTGTCGAAGTGTGCATCTTCGGTGACTGCTCGTACCCTCTGGAACAACACATTGTCGAAAAGTCCGACAACTGCTCGACTTCGATCTCGTTGTTCAGCATTGACTACGACGCTGACACCGTCTCTCAACACGCCTTCGCCAAGGTGCTTACTCCTATCACCGACAGCAAGGACAAGAAGAAGGATGACAAGAAGAGTGACAAGAAGGACGACAAGAAGGGCAAGAACGACAAGAAGAACTAGCTTCGCGCCTAAAAGACTATATTGATACCTATGAATAGATGAACTAATTTCTACCACTAAACGCATAGTCCATCTTTCGCTCGTATATAATTATAGCAAAAGCAATGGATTACTGCGGGGTAATTGCAGTTTTGCTTTCGCTAGTGGTTACGCTCACTGATGTATACAAAGAACAATGGTTAACCGCCTCGGATAACCTAATTGCTTTATCAATTTGTCAACTTTTCATCTATTTTTCATAAATCTATCTTCTATTATACAGTGAGTTATACCAAGAAATCGGTTTTGTCCATGGTGTTGGCTCTCGAGAACGAGGCATATCTCTGGAAAGGGTCGTTACGTTCCAACTCGTATTCGGGGTTTTTCGCTTTACGGTTCTGACGGCGCAAATGTACCCTTTTCATCCACTTCCAGAACTCGGCACCGGCAAGGAACAAAATGGTAAATGCAAACGCTAACCCCCATTCGTAGCCAATGGGGTCATGCAAAAACACCTTGTCGTTGATAACAGGGATGTAGATGACGGGGAAGACGGTGGCGAACCCGAAGATCACCGACCAGAATAAGAACTGGTTCAGCCACAAGTCAATGGCGGTCTGCTTCCACCAAGGGTTGTCGGTGTCTTGTCTCATGTAGAACAACGAGTTGGTGGGGTGGATACACTCCCACGCCAACAAAAGGGCACACCACGTCATCACAGCGAAGGAGCCTGAACGACCCCGGAACACCAACCCACAGTTTTCGCCAGAGCCAGTGTTACAGTTGTGGCCCAAGTTCCCGTCACCCTTGCCATAAACAATGACGACGAAGTTCAATAAGCAGCATACGGCCATCCAGAACCCGTAGGCAAACATGTCGATAATAACCTCGGTGGTGAAGATGCGGTGGTTGGGCGGCTTTTCCAAGACATCGGCCAGCGCTTGTTCTTGACCTAAACCCATGGCAGGGAAGCACAGCGTCACTACCAAAATCCAAAGCACTTCGACGGGAGATAAGGGGAACACGGAAAATCCCAGGGCGTCAATAAACGCAAGCCCCACCATCAAGTAGATGGCCTGGGCGACGTTTTCAGCAAGCAATTGCAACACGAACTTTTGGATGTTCAGACTCATACGGCGGCCTTCTTCAATGGCATTGAGAATCAGGGCAAAGTTATCGTCAGTCAACACGATATCGGAGGCATCCTTGGCCACGTCGGACCCGTTCTGGCCCATAGCAATACCAACGTCGGCTTTCTTGAGCGAAGGAGAGTCGTTGACCCCGTCACCAGTCATGGCACAAAACTTCTTTCTCCGGTGAAGAGCGTCGATCATCCTCACTTTGGTTTGGGGGGCACAGCGGGCAATCACAAGCGGCAATACGGGCAAAGCGTCGATTTCGTCATCAGTAAAAGCGTCAAATTCCAGGGCTGTCATCACCATCACCTTGACCACATCATCGGAGTAGTGGTACAAGTTGTGAGGCAAAATACCAACTTCTTGTGCGATGGCACGAGCGGTCCCAGGGTGGTCACCGGTAAGCATGCGGACATTGATCCCGGCCTTGTGGCACGCTTTGACGGAGCCAGCAGTCTCTTCACGAGGAGGGTCGTAAATACCAATCAATCCCAAAAAGGTCAAGCCAGCTTCCACTTGTTCTCTTTCCTTGGTGTCAACGGGTTTATCAGTAATGTCACGAGTAGCAAACGCCAACACTCTTAAACCTTGGGACGACAACGCGTTCATATTATCTTCAATGGTATCGACATCAGCCTTTTCCAAAGGTTTAAGCTCGCCATTACCATCTTCGCCGTACCAGGAGGTGCAGCAGCCCAACACGCGTTCGACAGCGCCTTTAGTGTAAACAATGGTGCGCGAGTCCTTAGTGTAGATGGCCAGCATCCGCTTGATCAGGGAGTCAAATGGGTACTCCGCCACGTGTTCGTGGTGTTCTTGGGCAACCAAATCGTCCCGGCCGTAGCCAAGACGAGTGCAGAACACCTGGATAGCGATTTCCGTAGCGTCACCATGAGCTTTGTGTTCGATCTCACCATCGTCATTTGTGACGGTGTGGAGCTTAGCGATGTTGGCAAGCGTCGCCGATCTGAGCCACTGTTCAAATAAAGCAGGAGTCTCGTGGTTGGGGGTGAAATCGATTTCTTCGTCACAGTCCCGAATGTATTGCGGGGAGTAGGAAGCGAAACCAACATCACCAACCTCAGGATTGAACGCTTCGTTGGAGTTGCTAACGTGGTAAGTACCCACCAGCGGAATCCACACTTTCTTAGCAATCATTCGCCCTTGAGTAAGCGTCCCGGTCTTGTCCAGACAGATATCATTGATGCCCCCTAAGGCTTCGAGGGAGTCAAGTTTACGAACAATGACGTTCTTCTTCACCATCACCTGGGCACCAACGGCCATGGTAATGGTAAGCACAACGATAAGCGCCAGGGGAATCATTGAAAGTGCCACACAGATAGCATAAATGGCCACTTCCTTGTTCACTCTCATCTTTTGCGAGCCCATGACGACAATGGCGAATACCACGGCCACCCAGAAAAGGAAAATGGCTAACCAGGCTAATTTCCGTTGCAATGGGGTACCAGTGTTGACGCCAAGCAAGTTACCGATGGCATTGACGATAGTCTTGGCCCCGGCTTGAGCGTATTCTCTCTTAGCAGGTTTGCGGCCGTCCAGGCGGTCAACGCGCTGGATGATGCCGCCTTCGCCTCTAAGCAGCTGGGCGATTTTACCGATTTCGGTGTGGATACCTGTAGCCACAACAATCCCTTGAGCGCGGCCTTTGGTGACGACCGACGACGAATAGGCCATATTGAGTCGGTCGCCAACCGGCACGTCCACCAGATAGTCTTGGTACACTTGGGTGCAGTCTTTGACCACGGGGAGCGACTCCCCCGTCAAAAGCGCTTCGTCAGTTTCGAAGTTCATGCATTCGGTGAGCCGTAAGTCGGCAGGAATGGTATCGCCAACATTGACGTAGACCAAATCGCCACGGACCACTTCTTCAGCAGGGATGGTGATGTCGTCACCTCTCATCACGCGAGCAGTAGGACTACTCAACAGTCTCAACAGGCCCATAGTCTTCTCGGCCTTAAGTTCTTGGATGAAACCCACAAACACATTAAGACCAACGACAAAGGCAATCACCCCACCAGAAATCCAGTCTTTGATGGCGAATGCAATCACCATGGAAATGATGAGCACAAGGATCATGGCGTTCAACACCTGGTGGGCCAAAATCGAGGTATAGGAAATCTTCTGGTCGTCGCCAAGGGAATTGGGGCCCTCGGCTTTGAATTTGGCTTCGGCATCTTGAGGAGAAAGCCCCAGTTCGGTGTTGGTATGGAACACTTGACAGGTTTGCTCAATAGTCAAGCGGTAAGTGGCGATCTCGTCGCCGCTGATGGAAATTTCCAGCAGCAGATCAGTATGTCTTTTGATGGTTACATCATCGTGGTGTTTCTCATTCATGACGGGTGTGGAGACATTGACATTGCGGGGGGTGGCAGACTATATATAGCTCTCTGGATCTACCCGAGTGGTTAGAATAGCCAAGAGTATGGCCAAGAATCTGGCTGCAAATCCTGCACATATTTCTTAGATAGTGCAAGTGGGGGTTGTTGCTGGGGGTCACGTGGCGCACGTGCTCAGCCCATATGCAAGACAGACATTAACATTATCTTACGAAGGTTAAGGTGCAGACACCGCAACCCCCAGGGGTATCACGCCACCAATTTAGATGATGGGATGACGAAGCTGTCAACTTAACATTGGGATTACTATCTCATCGGCAAATGAGTCGTAATCTTTCCCCCCACTGTCACGTTGGTCTTGATCCCGTGGCCGCATTTTCCCCTCCTCAGTAGCGCCGTACCAGTCCATTGAGGCGGACAATCTCTAACCGTGGCTCAGCATTACGAGACCCATACCAAGAGCTTGGCATACTTGGCGCGACACGTAACATGACGCAAACGACAAAGGCAAGTTCGTCTAGAACGTTCTACGGATATCACTAGTCTCCATTTACCATCTCTAGTCTTCCTTGTAAGTTGTCCCGCGGTTGCCCCGTTTGTTTTCTCATTTCTGAATCTGTCGTAAATTTGGTGCAAGATCCTCTCTGCTTTGGGTCACCTGCATTGACACAAGCACCACCGAAGCTCGGCACCACTTCTCCTCGCTGTAGGCGAATTTCTACGTGCTTCTCAGTATTGGGGGTGAAAAAGGTGATGGAGTTTTCTATTTTTATGGCCAGTATCGGATTTTTAATGAAAGCTGTCAGAGTTTTTCCGCACAACATTAAGATTTTCTGAGACAGACGTCGTGTGACTCCGGCCTCAGCCGTGTCTGAAAGTCGCCGCCGAATGCGGAAGGAGTGGCCGACGACCCGCAACCTCATTAATGTCGACAATGACCACGTTGCTGCCCCCGCTTACCATTCTAAGCCCCGCACGTGGAAACTGGAAAGAAACCGTTGGCATCGCTTGTCACTGCCCGTACGTCAAAATCATTGCTTGGCCGAAAATGGCAGGGGGTGATCGTGGTAGCGCTCACAGTTGATCGCACCCTCGCCCATGGTACTCCTTTAGCCATCGCACCAGCGCTGCTACTGTTAACCGCTCGCCCCTACGCCACCACCATTGTCCCTTTCATGCGTGCCCACCGACTCAAGTCTGTACCGTCGCTCGAAGAGTTCCTCTTCCGCCAGCAGGTCCGTTCCGTGTATCGGGACCTCGTGCGCACTGTGTACAAGTCTCATGAGCGGAAAGATCTTATGGACTACGTCCGCGGTGAATTCAGGGTCCACAATAACAATACCGGCCTGATAATAGCACGCAAATATTTGTTGAACAATGGCATCAATCAAATCAACCAGATGTTGCCGCAAGCAGGTCTTATCTCGACAAAGAAATTTGCCAAAATAGAGTAAAAGTGGCACGGGGTGCCTAGGGTTTCTAATAGAATGGAACATTCCAAGTGAGAAATGTAACGTTATATATACACAATTAGTGCAACAGCGGCGCCGACTTTTCGATGGTTTTGGCCAACACTTCCACCGTCTTGCGGTGCTCGGGGGCCAACTCCTTTTTGATATCGTTCAACGCCGCTAATTGCTGTTGAGTCCAGTTTTGTTTGCGGAGATCGGCTAACGTCAGGTCGATTAACTTCTTCACAGCATCGTTAGGTTTGCGTTTCAAAAGCATCCCCACCAACTTGGTGAACTCAACAAATCTATAAAGGTTCTGGTTCAACTCTCCGCTAAGAACATCCTTAGGCATGGTCGCCGCAATTTTGGTCAGGTTAAGATTTTTGTTCAAATAGTTGAGACACAGTTCCACCTCAGGCTTCTTCGTCGAAGACTGACTTAACTTGAATACGTTCAAGTAGTACTGGAGGAGCAACTTGTCAAAGGCAGTAGCGGCCTTGTGTGATCCCATCGCTTTATTGAACAACTTGAAGTGCTGAGGATCATTGGTGTAAGCCACAAGATATTGTAATGCCCACAATTTGACATCAGCGACATTAACATTGTTAGTCATCTGCTTCAACTCATCTAAAGGTTCATCGAAGGTACCCAATTTCCATTCACTGATGAAGTCACGGTTGTCCTGGTAATTCATATCCAATAAGTTTTCATAATTCACCAAGCGATCCAAAAAGAACTTTGTATAACTCCAATCATTGGTGAGAAGCGATTGTCTCACATTCATCAAGAGAGCATACACCCGACCAATGGAACGATGCATTCTGTCACCAAATCGGATGAACGACTCGAGCTTGGTGTAGTTACCTTGGTTAAACCCAGTAGCAATACATTCAATGACTTCACTTTCAGCGGTAAGGTAAAAGCGATACATGTCGTTGAAAATCTTGCACGAATCCTTCAGTGGTTGCGCCCACATTGCCAAGTGACCCAAAGTTTCGTGCTGGACCATTCTGATGGAAAGACGAGTGTAAAAGTATTGGATAGAGCTGCCACAGTTCAATTGGTTGTAGAGCTTCAACAACCAAAGAAGCAACTTGTGGTTGTACTTGTCCGTCTCCACCAAGTCTTCTAAGATGCAAATATTTTTGATGATGTTCTGTGGAGTAGAATCCTTTTGAAGATCAAGAATGACTTTTAGAAGTCTTACTTCATTGACAGGATCCAGGTCATACTCCACCAGTTTAGCCAGTAATGATTTCGACAACTCTTCAGCAACATCGTCAAACTTTTCACCCGCCAAATACTTGAATTTAACTTCGTTGACTTGAGCCACAACATTGGAAGACTTTTCCTCGAACTTAGGATGAATCTTGTATCCTTTCAAATCGTTCACACAACAAAGCTTGGATTTCATTGCATTGAAGTATTGTTGAACTGCCGGATCTAAAGGTTTGTCAAACACTTTGGCAAGTTCCACTTTCGCCAAAAGGTTGTTGCGAGTAGGCTTTGAGTCAAGATGTTCTGCGACTTCGTCGTACGACATTCCGAGTTTCTTACCCGACTCAATCAAGAGCTTCGTCGAGGTAAAGTCCTCGAATTGACTGAGAATCAATTTACAGTAGTCAAAAAGCTGTTGATCAGCGTTGGCTTCTTGCAAAATGTTACGGTATACCACCATAACATCGAAATTCACGGGGCTGGAAGTGACCGCAGCTACCACCTTATCCGTTTCTCCATTCATCGCCCACAACTGAGCCAACACATATAGTTCCTGAGCATTTTCATAGCCCAAATCTTCAATCAAACGGAGCGCTAATTGCTTGAACAAGGGAATTTCCTTTTCAGTTGCATCGCCCAGTTTGAGAATGAGGAGATACGTGAAAGCGGTCCAATACTTAAATTCCCTCAGCAGCTTTTGGTTCCGCTGTAAGTTCATGAAGATACGGTTCCACAACCGTGGCAGGTACTGGTGTGTGGTGAGAGTTTTGTTCAACCAAGTAGTCCCCAACGATTCGGCAGTGGGGTAACGTTTCATGGCGTTTTCGTAGCAAAGATTGGCTTCACTCAATTTACCCGCTTCGACAAAGAAATCGTACATCACCCCAATCGTTTTGGTGCAATTGGGGTTCAGATCCCGAAGCTTCAACATCTTGGTTACCGCATCCTTCTGCTGGCCTTGGCGGAACAAACAGAGGTTCTGCAACGCCGGATAGTACGGGCGGTTAGGGAACCGCTTGATCCTTTGGGCAAGAGCCTGCTGGGCATGGGAGTATTGGCCCTGATCGATGAGGTCCACTAAGTCGTCGTCCATAATTTTCGCGTGAGACAGATCGGCCCCACAACTACTACAACGCTAACAGCATACGGCGAATCGTACCAGTTAACCGTAAAATTATGTCCCTAAAAATTCGAAACAGAGGCAACTTATAAGTGCTTTTTGCCAATGGTTTAGAGTTATGTTGCACTGTTCTCAAAGCATATTATCGGCACCATAGACATTCCGTATGCTCGAGTGATAGTCGCGTATAAATCAGGTTAAATACAAGAGGAAAGAATATCAATAAACTTGTATTCTCTAATGTTGAGGATGCTATATTAAATTATATTCGTTAGAAATAAAATGAGGGTCAAACAATCGCTCTCAGAGCGGAGAAAAGTACTCGACAAACACATCTTCGTCGCGAAGACGTGCTCCTGACTCTAACTTTGCCGAAGCCACTGCGCCGTACACTTCCATGAGCAAGTTGGGGAACTTTTCCAAAAAGTAGTTGTAGAACTTGTCAGGTTTCGTCATCTGACGCTGAAGCTGTACCGGCATGTCGGCAAAATGATGGTACTTGTTACGGATAGCACGCAACAAGTCCAGAAGGCGCTCATTGAGATACTTGCGGTGCTTGCCCAAGTGATCTAAAAACGCCAGATCGAATTTGGCGTGCCATCCGGTGCCAATAACTGCTGAAGCATGAGATTCCAATTGCTGAAGAAGTTCGGAAGGCGGATCACGCCGTTCCAAATCAAATCGGTCACTGACCGCCAACAAAAATTGAAGACGACGATCACACAGCCAGAATAGAGGGTGAGCCAAGATGGCAGTGGTCGTAGGCCGGTGGCGGAAGTCATGATGAATCATCAGGCATATCAAATCTTCAGCTTCGAAACGATCACGTGGGCAAGTGATGGCAAGGCGGCTGACATCGTAGCGGCCATTGACGATGTTGGCTTCACGCATGTAGCGGTCGCCATAAGGGTGAGATCCACCAGTCAAAATGTAGTAGTAAACACAGCCAAGGGCAAAGATGTCGATGGCCTTTGTGAGACGCTTTCCCTTTGCGGGCACCAGGTCCGCATGTTCCAACAGTTCCAACGCCGTCAGCGAGTTGACGCTGGAAATGGTATCAGGGGAGATTTCACTGAGATCGTGGTTGAGCAACAATTCAGGGGCACGCCAGCCGGACGTTCCCAGAGCCGCATGCTGAGTGGTGGCTCGGAATGACAGCTGGTCGGCGTCAAGCTTTTTACAAAGACCAAAGTCAGAAATAAGCAATCTCACCGGCGGTTCGTCGGGAAGCGCCTTTTTGCGATCACTCACAAGAATATTCTGAGGCTTGATGTCTCGATGGACGATCTTGAGCTGGTGAAGATGGTGGAGACCCAGCGCCAATTCGAACAACGTAAGGTTGACATTGCTGAGCACTGCTCGCCGTTTGTTGGGTTTCTCAACAATGTCCTCAAGCAGACACATGCAAAGCTCGAGAGCAATGTAGAGGAACTTCTCCAGACTCAGTGTTTGCGAGCAGTAGTAGCGAACAACATTTTCGTGATCGTCACTTTCTTGCAAAAGGCGTACTTCATGACTGGCAACGTCGTAGAAATCTAAAAGCATTCGTTTCACCGCTACCGGGCGGTTTTCAAACATCCCCTGGTAAACCACGGTACCATGACTACCGTAGCCCAAGATCTTGTCACTAATGACTAAGTTGTTTTCAATGGGAAGACTCTTGGTTGCTTGCATCGCGGTGGTGGTTTCCTCTATTTCGAGGAAGGCTTCTTCATCATCGCCACCGTTATTTTTGTTGATGCGACGGCCACCACGTTTACCCCCACGACTTCCACGCTTGCGTTTTTTCTTGGGGGCATCTGCTTCATCCGCAGCCTCCAATTCAATCACTTCAATGGTATTATTTTCGGAGACAGCTGTGACCTTTGGATCTATTTTCACTGACTCTTTTTTCGTGATCTTTTCTTCCGACAAGAACCCTTTCTCGGAAGTCTCATTTGTGAGCACTGCAATGTCGTTTTGTGCCTCTTGGTCAAACTGGGCCACTCCATCCATAAGCGGGGTATGTTCTTCATACTCGACCACGTAGCCATAATCGCTCTTATCGTCGATCGCTCGCCGCACCAGGCGGAACAACTTCGACGATTTGCCGAACGTCATTATGAGTACAAACAAAATGAGCAACACCACCACATCCTCAATCACACGTTTGAGGATCAGCAGTCCGAAGATACGACGAATGGGCTCCAGAGTCTCAATAGGGTCCACCGCCGCGGTCACTTCCTCAGTTACGCGAGCATCAGGCACCCCCCATCCCAGCATCGAGTCGTCCTCCGATGAGAACTTAATGCCGCCACCGATAATGTTGGGAGTGTCAGTGGTAGTGGTGGTGTCGCGTCCATCGCCGATAGCGGCCACCGGTTGAGCCCGCGAGCCAAACCTCTGCTGAGGCTGATAGTTCGTGGCTGCGGTGAGTAAATGACACTCATGGAGCCCCAGAACGTATGCTTCGACGTCAGCGTTGCTCAGGTTGCTGAGGTTGAAGTTGAAGAGGCGCTCGCGGTCAAATGGGTAACCTTGGTTCATCTTCAAGAGGTCAAGGGTGTACGGAGCATATTCGGCGGTTTTGATGAGCAGCGGGTAGTTGCCGTACAGCATGGCGATCCACTCCATGTTGTTTGCGGTTTTCGTCAAAAACACTTTATCACGAGCGTAGTTATCGTCGTCAATCTGGGGCAGTGGATGAGGGAGCATCACGTACTCGCCAGTGTTAGCATTGTGGAAAATATCGAAGATAGACACAGCGATGCCTGGCAACTTGCACCCCCACTTTTCCCGGTTATTGTAGGCTAAGAGCACTTTGTCGTAAAAAGGGTAAAAGTAAGAGTTATCCGCCAGTTTACGGTTCTGGAGGATGAGGTCGTTGTCGATATTGTTAGGACCCCACTGGGAGTAGGTGACGTTCCACACCATTTCCGAGTTGTGCTTGTCGGCGATGGTGAGTTCGAATGTGGTTTTGCCAATGAGGAACGTGTCTTGGGCCAGCCCCAGCTCGAGTTCTATCGGGTGGTGGGTACGGGGGATGGGACACTGTTCCGAGTCGCCAAGGAGCGGTCGTGTGTGGCCCGTGTGGACGTTCACCTCGTACAACAGCGTCGTTCTCAGCCCGGTATAGATTTTATTATCATCTCGAAGCGAGAACGGCAGAGCCATCACTAATTCACGGATCAGCGTCGGGATCTTGTTGAGGCCAAATTTGGGCGTAAAATAGTACAACAGACCGTCCTGGTACGGTTCGACAAACCACAAAATCAGCTCTTTGGTCTGGTTACTGTCGGCGGTGCGGATTTGCACGAGGGGCTCTTCGATCGGCAACGTCCAGCGAATAAATCCGTGCTGGCGGTCGATCCCGTGCAAATTGCCGTCAATATCGCTGACGACAAGCAAATTAGCCACATCACAATCGCCAAGGGAGCGGCCGGAGAGCGGAAGGATGCCCGAGGTCTCTTGTAGCGCCGGCGGCGCCATTTCCTGGGCCAGCAGCGCCCCCCAATTGCTGGCAGCGCCGGCGGCGTCTATTCGGAGGCACCAGGCCACCGCCCACGCCACCACAGCCATCACAAGTGGGATCTGCATGGTCGTTGAGCGGGATCAATCTCTTCGGGGGGGAAATAAGTATGGAGGGGGGTGAAGCAAAAATTTTACTTCGGTGCAGGAGCGGCGCGGGCTAATGGGGGAAAATAGGCCTGTGCGATTATGACTGATTTTTATTAAGGTGGAGGCGAGGCTTATGGGCGACTATGGGGTACGCAACCGCTGGGCACAATGTGATAGTGGTATTGTTGTTGATGTCTCTAGGTGGAGTGTCGTGCGTGGCTAGAGCATAACTCCAAAAAAAAAGGTAAACAAGCGGGCATCTGCAAACCTCTATATCCAATGGTAAAAAGTGTCGGTTGGTCAAACCATAAAATGTTGGTTCGTCGGTAAGGAAAACTAAGGGTGATGGGGGGACCTCTCTTTCGGCTAGGCTGGGCATCCCGGCATGCTGAGGGGCAAACTTTAGCAGCACGGTGACGAAGTGGTGCGGTGATTTGATTTGCTTGAGCGTCAACCGTTGGATAACCACTTGCGCTTACGTAATACCACCTACAACACACATTCCGGCAGTGTCTAAAACAAAACACATCTACGGCCCCCGCCCACCCAGATTAGCGGACGGGGGGAGGGGAG